ACAAATAATAGCCTCTGAGTTCGGGCATAGTTAGGGTAGACTTCCGGAAGATATCTTAGTGTATTGATGATTTATAATTGATGATAATATGTAATTATTACTTCTATACCTGTTTTATTATATCGAATGATTTAATACTTACCCTTATTTTTTCATGTGGATGAGACTGCGATGAACATTTTTATGTGGGAGCAGATCAGGAGTTGAGATGTGGGATGTGACTACTAGACAACATGGATAGTTCAATGGGATAACCTTGTGGGAGCTACTTTTACATATATAATATATAAATAATAAATTATGTTACTATGTTTTGAGGTTCGTTAATTAACCAAAATTTTAGTCTATATTACAATTACAATAATATAATGTAAGATATATGTCGTTATTTACTATTTTGCGAAAACATCGTTATAATAGCGATTTCTAGGTTTGTTACCACTGTCATTAATATAATATTATTACGCTAAGTTAAAAAGTATAATAATTAATATCATATAATATATTTTTTTATTTACTTGTTCATAAAAATAATATATATATATATATATATATATATATATATATGGAAAATAAATTATGCTAATAATAAATCCAGTATATAATAAATTTGATGGAATTTTACAATAATAATTATATTGAAAATAATCTAAAAATTATTCTAATTGATTGACATTTATTCTTTTTAATAAATTATGTGTATCATTAAACTCTTTTTATTTCTTTGCAGTTAAAGTTGTTAGTTCATATTAATATTTTAAAATGTTATATATATATATATATATATATATATATATATATATATATATATATATAAACTACTTTTAACAAAGAGATAAATGTATTTTTAAAAAATAAGAAAGATATTTTTCACCCTAATTATATATATTTTTAAATTAGTTATCAAGTTTTTTTAAAGGAACGATGAGGATAAATAACCCCAAATAACTTAATCACTATCTTTTTAATAATAATAAATATAATCAAATATATTTTTATTCTTAAATATGATTTGTTTTATTTTACATAAAAATATAATATAATTTTAAATCTTCTATATTTTCTAACCTTTTTCTAGTATTTATAGTTAACTATAAAATAAAAGTACTAATTATTTAGATAAGATAACAAATATTTCAAAGTAAGAGGAATATTTTTTTTCTACGTAATTTAATTAAATAATATACTTATTACATAATAAAAATAAATTATATATATTACTTTTACTTTTCCATTCCTAATTGGCCTTTAGAGTTGTATTTTTATTAAAAAAATGTAATTTATTTAAATCCTATAACTATTTTATATATTATTTTTTAGATTATACTATTGAATCATTAGAAAGATATTTATATTTAATTACGAACATAAAAAATATATTTTAAATAAATTTATGAAATATATTTAAATAGTATTTAATTAAAACTAATCATACATTAAATGTTATAAATTATAGAAGTATAATGAAATATTATATTATTAAATAAAAAAATACGTTTAGTCAATATATATGAAAAAAATATTTTCAAACAAAAATAAAAAGATAAATATATTATCAGGAGAGAAAAAATGTTTATTTTTATCATTTTTAATAAAAAAATCACATATATAAGTATTATATTTTAATAAATGTAATAATCAATATTATAGTAAATAAATTGTATTCAACAAACATGATAATTAGTGCCAGATAAAATATCATATTTAATAAAATAATAATCAATATTATATAAATTATATCATGAAATGAAATAATATTAAAGAAATTATATAATGTTATAAAATAAGATACACATATATAAAATAAAGAAAAAAATAAATTTTCATTTTTTTATTCATTGAGACACCTTATTTATAGGTAAAAATATAATTTGAAAGATAAAATTTAAAAATTACAAATATTTAAATTATATAAATAATACTTATAAATTTAATGGATAATTGATAGTAGTTTGTAACCATCTCTTGGATGTTTAATGAATAAAAAATGTGTTTCATTAAAATCTTAATAAATAAAGAAAAAATTATATATCATTGTTCTTATAAAATAACTGGTTAAAATATATTCATTTCTTTTTCAGTGTAAATTTTTATTATTATTAATAAAATAAAGATCAAAACTAATTGTTCAAAAGTTGTTATTAACAAAGATTTTTTAATAAATGGACAAAATTTATTATGAACTAACCTTTTATATTTTTATATCATAATTCTTTTCAAGTTTATAAGTAAAAAGTTAATAAGTTTGGAAGAACTATATTTTTCTTTATTTTTTTAAATATATTAGGGTAATTGATCATAACTTTGGTCCTGGTGTACACCATGCAAATATACCTTGATTTTCTTTGAGGACATTTATGAGTGTTGACTCTAGTTGAATATCTAGATTACCCCAATGCACACCTTCATGTCATGTGCTACTTGAATTTCTTTTAATTCCTCTATAGGTTGTGGTTGTTGGTCATCTTGCTTGGTCATCTTGCTTTAATCTTGGCTTGATATATGATAACTTCGTTATCTTTTGTTGTTGGATAACATTGAAAGTTTTATTGTTACATAAACATTCTAGATAACATTTGTGTGTCATCTTCTGATATATTCGAATTGTACAAACTTGTCCATTCTTAGTTGGGTATTTGATCTTCAAATGTATATTAGACACTATGACACTCAAATGGTTTAAGGTAGGTCGTCCTAAGAAAATATTGTATGTTAATGGTGATTGACAACCAAGTACCGTATTTGAGCTCACTTTTTTATTTGTGTAGTGGGAAATATTTTGTTATCTCTTTCCCATGGACAACGCCAGTGGTGGATCTTGACAAGTCAGTCTCGGGAGTCAATTATAAAAAAAATTATATAATAATAAATAACAAATAAGATTATTTAAAATTGTGCCCTTCATTTTTTTTAATGTTTTAACTCATCAATAATGAAATTAGTACTAAAATTTTCAGTTATTTATTTTTCAATATAAATGATCATATTATTTGCAAGAATTTCATCTTCTATTTTATTTGATAATCTTTGTTGCGAAACGATATCTCAGTTGTAGTCGTAGAACATGAAAAGTTAAAATAAGACGAATTAAATGATTTATTAAGTAAAATATACCTGACTTCATTGTTTTTTTTTTCAAAGATTAACATAATTCAAGTATGATAGACAAATTCTTCAAATATGGATGATTAGGAGCGTCAAGTATAAATTGATGAAGTTGAAATTTTAAATTAATCTTATCTTGTTCACTAAAATCCAAAAAATAAAATTTGTTCACAAGTGTGCATATATAATCAATGTTAAAATTTTTATAAACATCATTTGGAATTAAAACATTACTTAAAATTAAAAGTTCTATTATTTTCTCACTAAACCTATCATTTAATTTTTGTAATTGTTTATCCACTATAAGTCTATAATAAAAAATATGTTCACCCCGATGTTCCACTATAATACAATCTTTTTGATGTTGATATTAATGTCATGCTGCTCACAAAACAATATCACATATTTCAATGAATTAATATTAAATTCATTGATTTTAATTGTATGAATCTTGTAAAGAGGTTATTCTAATTGAATAATTGGATCATCAATATCATGCTTTGAAACCGAAGAAGATGTTGAATTTGTTTGGTTTTCATCTTTACAAATATCTCTTTCATCACTTTTAAAAAATGAATATATTCTTTTATGCTTCATGTATAGAAAAAAAAATGAATCTATTATTATTTTTCTAATTATAGAATCATAAAAATTTATAAAAAGTAAAAATATTTTTCTCAAACATCAAATGTTTTTCATAAAAAATCAAAATAATAAACAATAATAGAATAAATAGTGTGAAAAGATAAAGAAAAAAATATATTTTTCAATCAATATAATTTTAAGGATGAAATCTGAAGAAGGAGGAAAAAAGATAAATAATAAATTTAAAAGTACAAACTATATAAATAATTTAATATTAATAAATCAATAATACTTGTCAGCTGAAATAATATAAAAGGTGAGAGAAGATGTAAAATTACTTTTAATCTTTCTTATTTAATATATTCCTTAATAAAATATTAACTTTAATAAAAAGAATGAAAAAGTGAGAAAAATTTAAAATATGAGATAATAAAATTATTTTTAATTATTCTTAATTAATTTATTTTTTTAATTTTTTTATATGATATATTTAATATTAACAATTAAAATTATAAATATATAAATAAATCACAAAATTTATCATGCCCATAATTCTTTTAATTACTTTGAATATTCGCCACGTAATACTAAATATTCTATTCAATAATATTTTGACCTCTTAGTTAGTTTTAGAGTGAGTAGAAAATCTATTTACAATTCGCCTTAGAAATCCCTTTAATTCAATTAATTTTGGGTACGATCTCATTTTAATGGATCAGAATCCGAATAATAAATTTATTTATTATAAGGGATTAATCAGGTTGGTATAATACCAAAATGAAAATACTACCTCTTATTAGACCGTTGAGATAGGATATGGGTCAAGACCTATTTTCGAAAAATACAAAAATATTATGAAAATATAGTCAAAACATAATCATCCTTTTTAACATATATTTTATTTCAATGAAATATTTTAAAATAATAAATCTTAATATACATAAAATATTTATTAAAAATAACGTAATATATGAATTAAATTATTATGAGCAACCATTTTTAAACATAAAAATATATTATAATAATAATGATTGATTTATATAAAATTAATAATTATTATCACATATGAATATTTTTAACATATTAATTATTTTTTAGTAAATTATATTTTTATCACTTTTAAAAGGGTCTACATATGAATATTGAATATAACAAAATTAGGTATTGGTTACTTTGATTTGATTTATTTATTTATCTTGTAACCGCGAATCCTAAAACAAATATTTGGAGCAACATTATATAAATTCTGTTATGTTCTTGTCACTGAAGAAGACTAAATTCTGTCAAGTTTTTCCCATCTTCACTCTCACATGGATTTCACAGAAGACTTCACCTTCTTATCGGAGCAACACCGCGAGTTCGACGCCGCGGAGGCCATGGAATCCGACCTCGACTTCGCCTTCAACCTCCAGTTACAGGAGGCTCTCGAGGCCTCCCTCGCAGTCCATCCCTCCTCCTCCGCTACCGCCGAGGTGATCGAACAACCTATCGTCGACAACGAGGACGTGAATGCGACGGCGCTGCAGTGCAAGGAGCTGGCGCGCGTGGAGTGCGAAATGAAGGACAGGGAGCGGAGCGAGAGGGAAATGCAGAAGATGAGAGAGGATTTAACCCGTCGGATCCACGACTGGAAGGTGGCGAGGGAGATTTCGAGGATTTCTGAGGCGGATTGGCAGGAGTGGGGCGATAACTTTGAGAAACCGTTCGGCGAGGGCTCATCTTCGTTGGGGAGGACAAATGAAGACTTGGTTAGGGTTTACTTCAAGGGTTTGGTGAGCGAGGAAAACACCGAGGGGAAGAGAGTTGTGCTGTCTGGGATAGGGGTTGCGATTTGTGACCTTGATGATAATTTGATATTTGAGATTTCTAAGTCGGTGATTGGGAATGGCAGTGGCAAGGTCGCTGCGGAGATTAAGGCGTTCATTGAAGCCCTCAATGCGGCCCTTTCTTTGGGCTTGAAGTGCATCCATTGCTGTTCCGACTATTATACGTTTTTCCAAGTTGTGAGTCCATGTTAACGAGATTGTGGCTAAATATACATTTATTAAGCAATCATCTTCACTTATGAAAATGTGGCATATGTGGTATTTCTTTCATGCATGGATCAGAAAGAGATAATTTTTTTGTAAACCTTTAATATCAAAAGGTTTGAGAGACTAAAAATAAACAATCAATATTATATAAACACAAATTTTTTTTAATTCTTTAATTTGTTGAATTGATTTGCAGAATTTGTTGTAATTTATGTGTGTTTGGGTTATGTGGCTTAATATGTGGTTTATGGGACTGAGGATACGATGTTATGCTTTTTATTTTGTGTGGAGGTTTTGATATCTTGCTTTTCTGGTCAGGTGAATAGAAAATGGCCTGCAAAACAGCGGAAGATTGCTCTGTTGGTTGATGAAGCTGATCTGCTTCAAAAAAAGTTTAGACTATGCTGTTTAAGTTATTCGGCCAGACGAGATGTCAAGTTTGCATTTAAGCTTGCGAGAGATGCAATTGTGTCTCGGTCCATGAGCCCGTCGGAGCCTGGGAGTAGTAAGAGTGTGAATGAAACTTGTGTTATATGTTTGGAGGATACTGATGTCAGTCAGATTTTTTCAGTTGATAGATGTCAACACCGCTATTGCTTCTCTTGCATGAAACAACATGTGGAGGTGAAGTTGCTTCATGGAATTTTGCCAAAGTGCCCTCATGAGGGGTGTGAGTATGAGCTTCTGGTTGACAGCTGTCAGAACTTTTTGACTCCAAAGTTAACTGAGACCATGCGGCAACGCAAATTGGAAGCTTCAATTCCTGCTGCTGAAAAAGTTTACTGCCCTTATCCAAGATGCTCTGCATTAATGACAAGAACCGAGGTCTTTGAGTATTCGGAAAATCTTATTGGCGTATCTGACCAAGCAGGACCAAAGAAATGCTTAAAATGTCATGGCCTTTTCTGTTTTAATTGCAAGGTCCCTTGGCATAGCGGTATGACATGTCTTGTTTACAAAAGGTTGAATCCAAATCCTCCTGCAGAAGATTTGAAGCTGAAGTCTCTGGCATCAAGGAACCGATGGCGTCAGTGCGTGAAGTGTAACTATGTCATTGAACTTGCTGAAGGTTGCTATCACATGACTTGCAGGTACTGTAATAATATTTGCTTAGTTTTAATGTTAATATTTGCTTAGTTTTAACATATGTTATAATGATCTTCTTTTAGAATTTTTGTTTTTTACCTGAAGTAAGCATCTTCCTAAATATGAATCTGAATTTTTTTTTATTTCCTAAATATTTAACTGATAGATACAATTTTACTTTCATTCAAGCAAATTCCCTGTGATTCCAAGTTTAGAGTTAACTTCGTTGTTTCTCAATTAAAACTATATTATTTGCAAAAGTTGTGTATTTAGGGAATTTTGTGTGTGTCTTGTCTTAGTAATTCAAGACCATATTTAATAAGGACTCAAAGCTATTTTTGGATGTAAATTTGTCCTTGTAGTAAAGTCCTTAGTCGTCTTTCAGACTTCTCGCAATACTAATTGCCTCATCATACATGACTCATATAGCATATATTTAGTTGCACAAAACCCTGTCTATTACAAAATTTTCCACAACACTTTTCTGGAGACTACTTGATCGTAGTTTTTTTCTTGCTAGTCTTTTTTCTTTCAATTTCTGCTCGATTGTATTTTTGTCATAATTACGTAGTGTGACTTGTAAGTTTTATCAAATTGGTTTACAATTGGATGTTCCTCGTATTTTTTTTAAAACGTATATTCATTTACTGGAAATGATAATTTGAACTTCATGAACAAAGATTTTACCGTTGTGGGAACAATCGTCTGTTAACATTGAATATCACAATGTTCGGAAAAATCTTGTTTTGAAATTGTATGTGCATGTGACCCTTGCTAAGTTTGGTATAATTGCACTATGAAAGTTAAGTTAGAATTTTTTGGTGAATTTAAGATAGAAAGATTTACACGAGAAAAATAATTCTCATTGTTATTGCTGAAGATGACTCAAACTAATAACTTGAGTTTCTAATATGATTATTTATATAAGTAATTTTCAGATTTCCATGAATGGAGAAGTAAGTCATTTGTGTTCAATCACAGCATCTTCAATGGGAAGCAAGAATATGTTGTCCATTGCTACTTTCACTTCTTTCCATTTTATATAATTTCCCGACCTTTCTTGTAATTGCAGATGCGGTTTCGAATTTTGCTATATCTGTGGAGCTGAGTGGAAGGAAAAAAAAGCAACGTGTGATTGCCCACTCTGGGCAGAGGACAATATTTGGATTGAGGATCACGAGAGTGATTGGGAAGAAGAAGATGAAGATTGGGAAGATGATAATTATGATGGTTTTTAATTAAGTACATGGCAGCTTGACTTGACCAGGTTGACGGTCTAGTTTTACATCAAGTAAATATTTATTCATATATCCTAAATATATTAGTTAGCAAATTGTCTTCTTTTAATTTTTCCCTAAGCCAAGCTCCATTTTTTTGGAAATACATATTGTATAGCCCAATGCCTCCTTCCCTTAATGCTTTTTACAAAAATTAAATTTAGTTTTGCTTATGTGAGAATGCTTCCGGTGTTTACTTTTTCCCTTATAAAAAGAACACAATATTGATTTTGTAGATCATTCTAAATTACTTTCTTTTCTTTTTTTTTTTCTTTTTTTCCTAGTGCATTGTATAATAATTTTGTTATGTTATTTATTGGAAAATATATTATTTTTTTCCTTAAATTTAAATAGATATATTGTAATTTCATCGACTAATAAAATTCTATCATTGTTGATTATCGATTTTGTTTATTTTTCTTATATTTTATTTTAGTTGTGTGTTCTTATGTTATTATTATGATTTCTTCTTGGTTGTGATATCATTTGCTGTATTTATAAGAATAATGTTGGAGTAAATTCTTAGTATATTCTAAGATTGTAGTAAATCTAATCTTTCATATAAGAAAAAGTTATTTCAGCTTAATGGATATAGAGTGTGACAATGCTTGTCTAGGAAAAGTTTTAACAAGAAAAAACTTAGTATTTAAGTGTGTTCATTTATGACCTATTTCTCTTTCTTGAGAGTTTACTTAGTGTAATAGTTACGGTATTGTACCAGTAGATAATATTAATTATAATAAAAAATGCACAAGTTGATTAAAATTATGACAATAAAATATGAAATAGAGAAGTTTAATACGAATAATTTATTGTTGTGAAAAGTGAAGATTAAGACCATTTTGAAAAAATATAATTGTGTAGATGCAATTGTAGAAAGATTCATGGATAACATGGATCAAAGGTAGGAAGAAATCAATAACAACATTATAGCAATTTTGTACTTAGCATTGTTAGATGCGGTTTTGTCTAACAAGGTAAAGAAGGGTACAATGAAAGAGATATATGAGTCTCTTGTCAAATTGTATAGATTAAGTCATTTCATATAAGAATATTTATGAAAAAAAAACTCTTTAATTTTCGAATGAGTGAATTCACATTGGAGTAAGACAATATCATCTATTTGAATACATTGTTTGTTCAACTTTCTGTGATAAATATTAAGATAGTTGAAAATGAGCATGTGAAACTTTTATTTTAGAGTTTTCTAGATTGGTATGATTAACTTGTCATCAATATAACAACAATAATATTGGTTGTCGGAACTTTTCTTGAGGAAGAATTAAGGTGAACAGTTTAAATTAAACAAAAGCTATGATAATGATGAGAGATAGCTATATTGAATATGACTTTAGTGAAAGTCAAAATCATGATAGATAAAATTCTTAAGGAAAAATCTTATTTGCTATCATTGTGGTAAGAAATGACATGCTAAGAAAGATTATTGATATAGAGCCATTTATTCTTATGTGTTGAAATTATTGATATTATCCCTAGGAATGACAAGATATTTTATATTTTTGATGATGATTACTCTAGGAGATTACATGTGAACTGGATCAAGAGGAAACTTGTGTTTTTGAAGTTCAAGAAAAAAAAGATCCAAAGTTCCGGAAGAACATATTCTTGGACAATGTAAACAATGTGAAATGATATTTCTTGTGGAATTTCACTACTCATAAGGTTATTATTAGAAGAGATGAAAAATATTATTTTTCTTCAGGTTGACCTAAGAGAGAGGATTGATATGCCATAACTGAAAGATTTTAAAGAAAAAAAAAACTTAGTTTGCAGGTTAACCAAATCTCTGTAAGTCTGAAATAGACGTTCAAGTATTAGTGTAAGAGAATTGATTTTTCATGATTAACTTTGTTTACAGAAAATTTAGTTCAAACTATTATACCTATTAGAATAGATTTGATGATAATGATTTTATCATTTTGTTATTGTATGTGAATGACATATTAGTGGTAGACTCTAATAAAGTTCAAATCCTGAAGGCATGATTGATTAGGAAGTTTGATATAAAAAACTAGAAATTAACAAGATTTTAGAGATGTAAATTCAGTAAGACATAAAAGATACTTAATGAAGGTTTTATTGTGTTTTAACATGCAAGAGTGTAAGCTCATTTTTATCCCACTTTCCATCAAGTAAATTATCTTTAAGTATGAATCTTAGCAATGAAGCAGAGATGATGATATGCATTGACAGCGGGAGGTCTTATGATTAGTACAAGATCAAACATTAGTAGTAGGAGCGATTAGTAGATTCCATGACAAATCATGGTGGAGAACATGAATGTTATTAAGAAAATCCTTATCAAAGAAGCCTTGAATGCTGCATTATGTTTCGAAAAATCAGAATTAATTGTCAAAGACTATGTTTGTTTAGGTTATATAGGTAATCTGGACGTCACCTTGTTAGCGAGACAGTAAATTGGTTATCCAAGTTACATGATGTTGTAGTCTATTTAATACAGAAGTTAAGTATATGATAATCACCCAACATGTGAGAAAGTTATATGAATTAAAATGGTTAATGGAAAAACTTGAGGACATACAACATAAGATTGTTGTATATTGTGATAGTTAGAGTTTTGCATATTGTAAGAAATCCTGTCTAATATATCTAAATCAAAACAAGAAGAACTCAACAAATATTGTGAGAGACGATTAACATTAACAAGTTTATATGAAATCGATCATACTAAAAAGTTTATTAAAAAAAATAATAACATGAAAGATAATAATAATATGGGGTGAAAATTTGAATTTAATAAAAAATCTTCATGTAAGAAAATATGAGAAGATAAGTTTTACTAGTGACGATCTTCTTGGAGATGAGGCGGCGATGACCCCTAAATTTTTGTAACTTCCATGTAATTTATGATTTTGGTCCTCCAAGCATAATAAACATTTAATATATTTACTTGTATATTTACAATTTTATCCTTCTCTCATATAATTTATGATTTTGTTTCCTTCAAACTTAATAATCATTTAATATATTTAAGTATATATATACAATTTTATCTTTTCAACCTTTCATATTCTTTCTTCCTTTTATATTTATTTATTATTTATTAATAATATATTATTTAATTTCAAGATCAATGATCAAGATCCGTAATTGAAGCTTGGAAAAATTATATATTGATGTTTATTTTTCTTTTATAAAGAAGTGCAATATTTATCTTGCAAATTATTTCAAATATTTTTTGATCTTTTCTTCTAATATATTGCTTAGTAGTTTTTTTTTTATGGAGAATGTTATTAATTTTTTTACGGTATTTTTTTTGGGTAGTAAAATTTCGTGATTGTTTATTGGTAATTTTTTTTTAATCTTTTGTTGTAGTCGTGGGTTTTTAAAGCTTCCTCCTATTTACTCTTTTTATTTTCCTTTGGCTTGGCATAAAGAAATAATTTTTGTATGAGAATTGCAGACAGATAAACCAAAAGTACAACAAAGCGTATACACCGATGTTATTTTAATGTTATTTTATCTTGAGCTTTACACAACTAAGAATTGCAAACTTGCTTGCTTGCCTGTGTGGATGCACGACACGTTGACAAACAATGTATTCACTCCTAGCATTATTATATTCATATCAGAATCACAATTTCAACCAATTTTCAATGAAATTGCTGATGGAAAAACAGTTAAAATAATTTTCAAAAAATGTATTTATTGTAAAATTTAATAAAAATATTTTAAAACTTAACGTATCTATGTTAAATCAAAGGTGTGCAGAGCTTTTATTGATTTGAAAGATCAAGTTTTTCAATATTTTCTTGAACAATATTCTATTCAGTTGGTGGCCACAAAACAAGAATCTCTTCCCATTTAATGCAACAAACAAAAGATAACGCCGACATAAGTATTATAAACCTTTTGAAAAACAAAGAAAAGTTACACACATCACAAAAAATTGATGCAACGATGGATTTAATAAAAAATAAATAAATATAAAAAAATATAAAACAAAATTAAACCTTTGAGACAGTAACCACTTGCTTAGTTCCAATAAATTCGTCAGTGACCTCATACATTTTTTCTTTTTCTGAAAAATTAATTATATTTCGCTAAGCTCGTTGACTAATTATCCTTTGTTTTTTATTAACATATTAGCATGGACCACTTACATGTATGATAGAATAATGAAAAAGGAATAAATAGTTTATGTGTTAAGAACATAAAAAATCATATCGCCACTCTATTAAAATTTATTTTGTATGATACTTTTTTTTATTTTTTATAATATTTTGTAAAAATACATATTTGTGTATTTTTTTAATACTAATAATACAACTATTAAACTGAAAAAAACTTACAAGGTATTAACCAAATTATATTGATATTTAAAAACATTCAAACTACAATAATTAATTATCAGTAAATATGAAGCAAATTATAAAATAATTCAAAAGAACCTAGATCAGGATAAATGTAACACAAATTATAAGTAATTTGATGTTTCTATTTACAATGATCTTATTTACAAGAAGGTAGGTAAATTTAAAATTTTAGAAATTATTTTTTATTTTATATCATAAAGTATCATTTATTAATCATAAGAATAGTTTAATAATTAATGTCATAAGTTACGTGGAATTCCAATCATAATAAACTAAAAATAATTAGTTCTTTTCATTTTCACAAAATCGTTATTCTTTTATGGTATTTATATTCTTCTTTATCTTGTTTCAAGTGTGAGTTGTCAATTTTTTTTTCAATAAAATGACTGGTGAAATGAAAACAACATTAAAATTTCAAATGGTGTTATAATACTTTCCTTAATTTTTTTTGTTTTAAATATGTAGACAACTCAGCTCCTTAGGTTCTAACCGTAATGAAAAAAAAAAAAACAGGTTTTATTTTCTTAATGCATGTAATGATTCTTATTTCATATAAAATAATAAATGAAGAGAACACTCTACACGTGGCCAACGGTGCAGCTTCCACTCAGCGTCATTCCACCGCAAAGATGAATATTTCCACTTTTTCACTTTTCAGTTTCGCTAATCTCGTTCTTCCAAAACCAAGGACCACACACAAACACAATACAAATTTTACCAACAAATTATCAAGTAGTTCACCCTCGTTAATTCTCGTTCAGTATATTGTCCCAAAAATAGTTTATACACTTTTTTTTCTTTAATTCATAGAAACATTTTCAGAAGTAAAATTAACTTAATTTCTGAGAAACAATCCATTGTTTTTTTTTTTCTTGTTTGGGTACAAATTTAAAATTAAACAAAGAATGACTATACCGAGTGAGCAGTAACGGTTAAGACGAAGTAATGTGTTTTGCTGGCGCAACGTCCCCATCTAAATTCCAAACCACCAAAAGGCACTCTCATTTTTCTCACTCACTCACCACCTTTTTTTCTTTTTTCTTCTTCTTCTTCGTCATTTCCCCCTTGGGGTCCATGTCCTTGTCACCATTAAACCCCTCGCAATTGCACCTCCACTCTATAAAACAAAACAGCCAAAAAATAAAATAAATAAATAAATACCTCATCTGCACCCTTCCTTTTCCCTTTCCCCAGAACGCGAACAGAAAGTATAACTCAAATCTCTTCTACTCTGCGTTTTGTATTTTCCCCTTTTTCTTCCAGAATGTGATTGTTCGGGGAAAATAAGAGAGCGAGAGAAGCGTTATGGAGTGGGTCAAGATGAAGGAGTGCGCCAGGGAGTTCATGGTTGGGGTGGCGGAAATGACGGTGGAGTTAGGAAAAGGTTGCAGAGACATAGTGAAGCAGAGTTTGGTCAACGAAGATTCATATATTGTCAAAACCTTTGGGAGAGATTCCTACATTGGAAAAAGAGTTAGAGGACCCTGCGCCAAGCTTTTCGCCAAATTGAGCTTCTTCAACGAGTATTTGCCCGAGGATAAGGATCCTCTTCACGCTTGGTCCGTAATTTTATTCGTTTTCGTTCTCGCCTTTTTAGGTAAATCAACTTCAATTTCAATGTAAGGAAATAAATTTAATATTTGAACTCTTGACTTCGTGTTTGGATCAGCTTAGGAATAGCATCATGGAAGTTGTTAATGCTGTGTGCTGTGTTTCGGTATGATTGATTTGTTTTTGTTTGTAGCTTTGTATGTCAATTTTGAGCGTGATCCGTACGCGCCGCCGGTGAAGCAGGTGTTTATGCATCCTCCTTGTGCTTCTCGCGTAGTGCTTCCTGATGGAAGGTTCATGGCGTATAAGGAGCAAGGTGTTTCATCTCAACAAGCTAGGTTTTCCATCATTGCTCCTCATAGTTTTCTTTCCTCCAGGCTTGCAGGTTGATTTTCTTTTGAATTGATAATTTCTGTTTCTGTTAATTTGTTGTGCTCTCATGTGGCTGAGGATAAATTGTTTCATGGTCAGGACCTACTGTGCCCACTTGCCATAACTAATATTTTCGTGACAAGCAATTAAACATTACTAATTTATTTTCGTAAATTGAAAAAAATGGTGATATGAGACTATTGACCAGCTTGAGGTATAGTTTTTTATTTTATTATTTATTAATAGTTTTTTTGACATCATCTTTTGAATTAGGGATTCCTGGAGTTAAAGATTCTCTGCTGGAAGAGTTTGGTATTCGTTTGTTGACGTATGATCTTCCTGGTTTTGGTGAGAGTGATCCTCATCCCAAGCGGAACCTCGAATCCTCGGCAACAGATATGGCATCTTTAGCGGATGCTCTTGGTGTGAACAAGTTTTGGGTTGTTGGTTATTCAAGTGGGAGTATGCATGCTTGGGCTGCGCTTAGATACATTCCTGATAGACTTGCTGGTATTAGTTGGTCTTTTGTTTGTCGTGTGCTTCTTTTTTTTTTTTAATTTTATTGGAGCTCTTTTAGTCATTTACTTTATGTGTTAGAGTACTCTTTTACATTTCATTTAGGCCTTTTGTTCTTTTTCCTCATTTAAAACACTTGAACGACTTGTTTAAAGTGAGTTGCTATAGGTTTTGCATCTTTTTGAAAGTGCCGCCTTTTTGAAAAATATATTAGATAATATATAACTATAATGTGCCACATCAATATAATAAAGTTTTTCGGAGGGAATAAGCACCATTCCATGTATTATGACATTAATCTGTCGTTTGTTGATTCTCAGGTGCAGCCATGTTTGCTCCCATGGTGAACCCATATGATCCTATGATGACAAAGGAAGAGAGACGAAGAACTTGGAACAAATGGACACGGAGAAGAAAATTCTTGTACTTCTTAGCCCGTAGGTTTCCTAGATTTCTAGCCTTCTTCTATCAGCGAAGCTTCTTGTCAGGAAAGCATGGACAGATTGATAGGTGGCTGTCATTATCTCTGGGAAGAAGGGTAAGAGAAACCTTGCTTATCCCTTTTATCTTTGAGTCAACATCTCATGTTTACGATCTGGATTCTTTAGAGTAAGAGATGCACACTTAATCTATAATTAGAACTCTTGGTAAGAAAATCAAGGGAATAGATTTTAACTTCATACTTGTATGTATTTTATTACAGTCAACAGATGATTTTTCAAATCAATGGTTATAATTCTGTACTTTATCCTTTAAACTGAACCTATCTCTTTAGAGGAGGCAAATACTGATATTTGACATCCATATATGACCCACTTTATGACTGTCACCTGTATTTTATTACAGTCAACAAATGATTTTTCAAATCAATGGTTATAATTCTATACTTGATCCTTTAAACTGAACCTATCACTTTAGAGGAGGCAAATACTGATATTTGACATCCACATATGATCCACTTTATGACTGTCACCTGTTATTCAGTTAGATAGACTAAACAGTAGAGTTGCAACTCATTGCCAATTAAATGATCAGTATATGAATGAGATGGCCATATATAATTGCTAAAGAAATTCTTGGCATTTCCAAATATGATTTATCTCTGTAATTTAAAGCAAACATTATGACTGAACTTTGGTTGAAATTGATAGTAATGTAAATTAGTGTTACTAAAAGCAGGTGCTGAGGGCTCATGCTTTCCCTGGAGTTTTTTTTTTAAACGTGTACATTCGCTCATCATGATTTCAATGTCTCTTTCAGGATAAAGCACTGATGGAAGATCCAATCTACGAGGAATTTTGGCAAAGGGATGTGGAAGAATCAATCAGACAAAGAAATGTGAAACCCTTTGTGGAGGAAGCTGCTTTGCAGGTCACAAATTGGGGTTTCAGCCTTTCAGACCTCAAGTTGCAGAAGAGAAAACAGAGTAGTGATTTCTTCAGTTGGATTAAATCAATGTTCACTGAAACTCAGGAATATACAGGATTTCTTGGCCCTATACACATATGGCAAGTGAGTGCATCTATGTTATTTCTCCCAACTCCGCTCATGTTGCTGTTTCATTTACATAAATCGGCTGTAATATTAGCAAAATTGCTTGAATGTGTTCTTCTATCCAAACTATTTAAGACAAATCACTTAAAAGTCATGATATTAAAAATATTTGATATAATATAGGATTAGGATGTAGGTACACTTGCGTATGTCAAATAATAATATTAAAAATGTATTAATATATACAAATATTCAATAAGCACTAAATGTGTCGAATTTAAACTACTAAACATCATCAAGCCAAGTTTCAGCATTTTGAATTGTTTTCTTTCCTTTTGAATTCATTTCAGAAGTTCTAGAAACTAATTTCCCCATTTTGACCAGTTGGTTCTAAATGTTCAAACCCTATAACTATTTTCTCTCTTTTATATTATATTTAAGAAACTTGCTTTGACTTTCTTCTTTTGCTTCTCTCCCATTACCTTTTTCGGTTATCCTTATTATTACTGCACTCTTGGACACCTGAGCTGTTTTAAGTTCCTAGTAGTCGAGCATACTACTTTATTGAGCACATGGAAGAAAAACATTTGACTGTTGCGTAGAGTGGAACCCAGCAATGTTTTCTGTTTCTTTCCCAATTCCCATTCGATGCTACTAGGTTTCAATTTTGCTGTTGTATTGATGTACCTTGGAGTAGATGATACCGAAGTTAAGGAGTCTTTACTCGTTTCTTGTGTAATCAATATGAGGCTTGTATTTCAAGTAAATGAAAATTAAAAAAAAAAAACTATTTTTACTTGCTCTAGTTGTATTTTAACCAACAATTGACCATTTTTTTTAAGGTGAAATATGACTTCTTGAAGTGCATTGTTAACAGGGAATGGATGATAAAGTGGTTCCCCCATCAATGACTGATTTTGTGCACCGCGTGCTACCCGGAGCCGCAGTGCATAAACTCCCATACGAAGGTCATTTCACTTACATCTACTTTTGTCATGAATGCCACAGACAGATATTTACTACACTTTTCGGAACCCCACAAGGCCCACTCAGCATTTCTATAGAAGTAGATCAAGCTACCCTAAAAACCAATATTGAACAAGAAGTAGTAAACGATGGTGATTATGCCTCAAACTAGGAGTACACATAACAGGATAAAAATGCTCTTTTCTTCTTCCATTTTTCTGGTCGAACATCACAATTTTATGATGTAAATACCTTATAGTTTTGCTTCATCTCCAATGGAGCAGTATAGGAAAGAAAATAAAATTCCTGCTTCTGGCCCTTCTTTGGGCTGTTGAACCGGTCTGTCCTACAAAAATAGTGTTTGGTCTCCTGCTTTAATTCAATAACTCCCACTACCGGATTCCCTCTCAATTTTTCATAACTGATATACAAAATTTGCTTTTGCTAACAGTGACGTATGACGACAATTCGAGTTCATCTGAATTCCATACTATGATTTGAAAAATGATATAAAGCTTATATTTATCTGTTCTTGATGAAACGACGAAGCAACAGTGTCGTAGATAGTTGGCTCAAATAGCAGGAGAAACCAGATATGGATTCTGGTAAAGCATTTTTCCAAACTCCTGTAATAAATTCTGACAACCTTCGCAGGAGGGTTGCAAGTTCCAACAGTTTTGGATGCATGCGTGAAAATGTGCCTATATATATTGGCACGTAATAAATTTTGTAAATGACGCTTTTTGCCAGAAAAGTAAAATTTATCTATATAATAATTACATGATGTAATATTATTTTGCTTAATGCTAAAAAAAGTGTTACAGCGTTTCAAACAGTTTCTAACATGGGATTTTATAAACTTAATATAGTTTGATAAATTTAATAGCTTACGATTAAATTTTGTATGAAAGTTGTCGGAATTATCATTTCACACTTATCTAATCTCTAAATAAGGAAAGATTGATTGTGTGGCATGCCGTATGATTGACACATTCTTCACGCCTTAATAGAAATAGGATAGCAGAAAGTGGTATTACTACTCATCACGTCCTATTCTTCTGTTAGGGCTGTTAGGGGACAAGAAGTGATAGAATATGCCCCCTCTACCTTCTCAACTCATAAATTTGCCTTGAGAATGACATTGCTGTTGACAATAATGGAAGTGAAAACAGTCAAAATACTCAAGTTAACACCGGAAGAATCATTAATGGAGCACTGCAGTATTTATTGTTTATGCAAACAATGTTTTTTCACCCGCTAGGAGTATTTATATGCTACTGAAATGGGGACACTTTAAAATTTTCTCAATTGTAAGGACCGAATCTACGTTGGGAAAGCAACAATATGCCTCACATCATGAAAGAGCTTTCCTGACCATTTTTTTATATATAAAGTAATAATAAAATTTATGGCTATGGTTGTATCCATGTAATTTTGTATTCTCAGTGACATTGTATATTAATAAATATTTTTTCCTTTTCAAAATTATCGTTAATTTAAATAGTATTTCATTCATCACTTCTTAAAAACAATCTTTTCCGCCTCCGAATAAGGAGAAGGAGTACAAAACGCTTTAAAAGAAATTTATATTTGTCACGGTCAATTAACAAACACGTGGAGTTCTCCCTTGATCGCTTGAAGCACCCCATGGCATGCAGGGCGTGAAGCATTTGGCGTGGCACCTCGACCAGACTCAGTAACCCACGTTAGTTAGTTCCCCTTTACCCAGTCTGCGTTGCACTCTACACCTTCCCGAAAGCGCCGTCTGTGCCCTCCAACTATTCTCAATTTCTTCTCATTCGTTAATCCAAAACCCAAACCTGTCTCACACACTCTCTTTCCGTGTGTATATATTATATATAACCATCCTCGCTTGAATGTCGGCACGGCAGATATTTCTCTGCACTCTCTCCCACGCTCTACCTCTATCTTCCTCTCTTACCTTCAAATCTAGAACATTCCTCTTCCTTCCCTTCGTACACACTTACCGCACTCTAACTCCCTCGCTCTCATCAATGCCTCGCAATCAGGTACTATTACTCTTTCCAGTTTCCGTTCTATTCTATTTGTTTTAATTGCCGAATTCGTTCTTCGAAATTGAACTTCGTATTTCGAGACTGAAATTCGATCATCTTATGCTTTCTCGATCGAACGAACGCGCTGAGTTTTCAATCGGTTGGCTGTTTTGCAGCGAAGTGGCGCGAACGTGGAACGGAGATGGAAATTGAAAGCGAAAACCGGGGCGCAGTTGTCCGCTAAGGGAGACGCCGCTGCAACTGCTGAGGAAACTGTTACTAATAAGCTTGCTGGATTGAGTATTGGTGAAAACAGTGGGAAAACCGGTGCGCAAGGTGCGGTTTGGAAACCTAAGTCTTATGGAACTGCGAGTGGAGGCACTGTTACCGAAGTTGAGAATGGAACAGCAATTGAGGCAAGTGTAGCTTCGACACAAAAGAGTGGTGGAAATGGTCTAAGTAAGATATTTCGCGGTAATCTGTTAGAGAAATTCACTGTGGACAACTCCACGTACACACGTGCACAAGTCAGAGCGACTTTCTATCCCAAATTTGAAAATGAAAAGTCGGATCAAGAGGTATATTCTTTCTGTCTGCCTTTTTTCCCCCTGTTCTGAAGTGTGTCTGTCATGTGATTTCTGCGCGTTTTGTTTGAAGTGTGTTTATTTCTCTTGGCAAATTACACTGCTACATTCCATATTAGCTGAAATGGCCCTGCAATGCTTGCACATTTCTAAGAACCAGAAGTTACCTTTGATATGAAGAAATTTGCAGGGTTTTTAGACCTTAACTACGGCATGATTCCAAGTTCCTAACGACTACATGATGTGTTATGCATAGTTCTAACTTCAAAGAAACACTAGTAAAAAGTAGATATATTTTTTGAATCCGATTCAGGTTTTTAGATTTTTTGCCTGTAATGATAATATATTTTTTTAAAGGATAATGAAGTATTGTTTTCTTTCCTGCAATTACCTGTGTTACTTGTATACTGTATCGCTGTAGGTCCGGACAAGAATGATTGAGTTGGTAGCAAAAGGGTTGGCTACCTTAGAGGTATGACAACTATACTTCATTTTACATGAACTTTTAAAATTTTTTAGGTTTGATAATATTAGTTTGATGAACAATTAAACACTCTGGCTCTCTTTTTAATAGAGGTGGATTTAATTTTGTTGACCTGCATGTGCAGGTTTCCCTTAAACACTCTGGTTCTCTTTTTATGTATGCGGGTCATGAGGGTGGAGCTTATGCGAAAAACAGTTTCGGAAATATGTATGATCATGACTGATCTTGCCTCCTTTATGTTTCCCTTTTTCATATATTTTATGATTGATATTTTCCTTTATAGTGAATAATGGTCATGCAGTAATTCAGATATTGCCTTTATTGTGAAATGTGTATGATCAAGACAGATCTTGCCTCCTTATGTTTTCCTTTTTGTTTAGCTTATGCTTGATATTTCCTTTTTCTTTTATTGTGAATAATGGTCCTGTAGTAATTCAGCAAATGGTGAAATGTTATGGCATGGGAAATTTCATTATTTGTACACAAGTGATCGGCTAGGAGTATAATTGTTGTGGTTTTCCATATTTCGGGATACATTTTACTTTATTGTCTTGTTTTACGTAGTTACTTTTTGTTACTTATTGGTTGTACTTTTTTTTGAACAGATATACTGCTGTTGGTGTATTTGTTCTTGGACGGATGTTTTGTGAGGCTTGGGGAGCTGAAGCTTCAAAAAAACAGGCTGAGTTTAATAATTTTCTTGAGGTAAATCATAAATAAAGAACCAAGAGGATTGAATTTAATATCATCTCTAGGATTCTATCGTAGTAGTATTAGCAAAAGCATCTCCAAGGATAGATCAATTTTAGAAGATCGAATTTTTTCAGTTGTTAATTTTATCCCAAACATATGGTCACTTCGTGCACATTCAAACCTTTTAATTTATCAACAAAATTCATGGTGTCTTTGTTCAATTTGTTGTGGCTCAAGGAGAATTATAAGAGACCTTGATTGTAATATTTATCATTGTTTTCCAATCTTTATCTGTTGATAACTTGCCCTCTCTCTTTATCTCTATCTCTCCCTTTTAGTTTGGGCTTTCTGATCATTTGCAGGATTGATGTTAAAAATGTATACACATTAGCTTTTATGACTAACGTGACACTCTTTCAGCATGTAGTTGATGATCATTTACTTTTCTGTTTCTCTTGTTTTTGGAATACGCACATTGCATTTTGTGTATTATTTTGACTAATATTTTTCTTCCCCTTCTAAAGTGCACTTCCTGTTCATGTGTCTGTTACTTGTATTCACTTTGCAACTATAAGTTGATACTAGTGTAGGATTTTGTTACTGTATTTATTTCAACTAGTTTCTCATGAAATGAATATTATTGTTACCTTCTATCTCAGAGAAACCGGTTGTGCATATCAATGGAACTAGTAACTGCTGTTCTTGGAGACCATGGACAGCGTCCCCTAGAAGATTATGGTAAAATTGTTTACTTGATTATCTCAATTGAAAAAAAAAAAAGCTAGTTACAAATCTCTAAAATAGAAATCAAATTATTGCTTATTATGAAATGATCTTTATTTAACTCAATCAGCCAAAATATCATGTATAATATTAAAATTTCGGTCAAATTATTATGTTCATGGCTATGTCAGATATTGAATTGTAAGGATATTATAGAGATCTATTCATTGTATAGACTAGCTGTATGGTTATAAGCTATATCTTCAATTGCAATCTTTTCATATTTAGTAGTGTGTAATAATTGTAGTCTACATACTCCTGATCTGTCTTTTAGATCTTCTCTTTTAGTAATTGCTGTATCTTTCTGATTCTCACTATTATTAATTCAAAGTTTTCTCCTGGACCAGGAGTTTAAAAGGGAATGAAATTCTTACATATGTGTCTGATTTAATTCTTGTTATGCAAATTGTCCACTGGATTAGGAAACAATTAATGCTTCCAAGATCAGTAATTGCTGTATATTTATTTCATTTCGAGTTTATCACGTGACATGTTCATTGTGTTGTTTTTAATTTGGGCAGCGGTAGTCACGGCTGTTGCTGAACTGGGAAATGGAAAGCCAAAGTTCTATTCAACTCCTGAGATAATAGCTTTCTGTCGAAAATGGCGCCTTCCAACAAATCATGTGTGGTTGTTTTCAACAAGGTGAGCATCTAGGATTTTTTATTTAGAAAATAGATACTTGTATTTGTGTAAAATCTGGTTTTTTAGAATGGTGATATACTGAAATGAGTAGGGTTGCATAAAAAGTAGTGGTCGTTTGTACGAATATTGAAGCACCAAACTGTCTTCCAACTAAATACCTTTCATTTGTGAATTTATAAGTTTTATGATGGTTAAATAAGGTGTTGTTGCCTCCAAAATTAACTCGTATAATTTGGTCCTAATAATTGTGCTATTAGTTTTGAATTGATGGTGTTGACATGACAATTATTTGTAGAAGTTTAAGACTTCAGCTTCTCTTTCTATAATGGTAAACTTTTTGACTTAGAGCACCATTGGGGTGATCTAGCAATAATTACCTTATGTTTAGTGTTATTACAAATGTTATAATTTAGAACACATGTTTCTTATGGTTTTTTTTCTTTGGTTGATCTTTTTTTATATTTATAGTTATATCTAGTATATTTTGAATAACCATACAGTATGTTCTGTTGAATTAATTTATTAAATGTCTTCTGTCTTTTGATATTTCAAGTATTTTGACTTTGATTTTTATCATTAATATAATATGAAGCCTTCTAGAATATGAGGAAATTTTCGTTTTACTTTCATGGCCTTATGTATAAATGTAGAAAATCAGCCGCATCTTTCTTTATTGCCTATGATGCCTTATGTGAGGAGGGGACTGCAACGTCTGTATGCAAGGCTCTTGATGAAATTGCAGACATCTCTGTACCAGGTAAAAATTTTGAGCTTCACATGATTCTTTTAGATAGACTAAGCATCTCTCACTCCCATGTTTTCTAACTTCTACCATAGACAACCAATATCCTTCTGAAGACAACTCCTGGTGGTTAGTAACTAGTGGTTATATTTGCTGCTTCCATTTATGAACGGATGTTCTACTTAAATGCGCTTTTGAAGTTTGAATCTAGTGTAATGCTTTGAAATGACATAGGTTTGTAGTTTTTGCGTTCGTCTTGTTTCAGTTTCAGTCTGCTGTGTTTTGTTAATTTCAGTACTTCTTTTTCTTTAATTTTTAGTCTCTTTTAACTACTCAATTTTCTGTGTGAACTATTTGTCATATTCACTACAAATATACACATGTTTTGATAACTTCAGGTTCGAAAGACCATGTAAAAGCCCAAGGTGAAATTTTAGAGGGTCTTGTGGCTCGTCTTGTAAGTCATGACAGTTCAAACCATATAGAGAAAACTTTGAAAGAATTTCCTCCTCCAGCTGCTGATGGAGGTATGCTTATCAAATATCTTTTTGCCTTTTACTCTGATCTTCAAAGTTGATGACCTTGTTATTTTATGCTATGTCATTAGTTATTGATAGTTGAGAGATGATTGGATAAGCCAAACCTTGAGATCATAGAATTTGTAATACGTTATAGTTTTTCTGAGAAACATAACAATTTAAAACAAAGTGGGACCTTTTTCTAATGTAAAGAGTTTCAGATATTGAAACTTATAAATATTGGTCAAAGTATATATTGCAATTTAAAATAATATATGATTTTTTTCCTTTCTCCTTCAGTGGCCCTTGATTTTGGACCAAGTCTAAGGGAAATATGTGCAGCAAATAGATCTGATGAAAAACAGGTACAGAGTAAACTGTAATACCTTGATTGTTGTCAATTGTAGTTCGTGAGGTGGATGTGGGTCCTTCTGATGCAGCTTATAGAACATTATTCTAGCAAAGATTAACAGTGGGACCTTGTGAAGCAGGATATATGGGTTCCCCCCTCCCTCTGTTCAGGGTGTTGTGTATCATTATAATGCTATGTAGGAACAAAAATTAGAATCTACAAATCCAGATTCGCCTAAATATATTCTGATCTGGCATGTTTTCAGCAAATAAAAGCACTTCTCAAGAGTGTTGGTAGTTCTTTTTGTCCTGGCTACTCAGATTGGTTTGGGACTGATGGTGCTGATTATCATTCAAGAAATGTGGACAGATCTGTTCTTTCAAAGTTTTTACAAGCCCATCCTGCAGACTATTCAACGAAAAAGTTGCAGGTCAGTTTAGACTGTTTTATATCCTAACCTTACACTTGGAATTATGTTAATTTCCACAAACTCCATTCGTTCAGTTTTGTTTGTGTAAATTTGTATATCCTGGTTTTTAAACTACAAATATCCTCAATTCATTTCATACTTCAGAATTTGTAACCAAATCTTTGATTTGATTTGGAATCAGGAAGTTGTTCGGTTGATGAGGGAAAAACGTTACCCTGCTGCATTCAAATGTTATCATAACTTCCACAAGGTTGATGCCATGTCAAGTGAGAATATTTTCTATAAAATGGTTATTCATGTACACAGTGATTCTGGTTTTCAGCGATACCAAAAGGATATGAGGTATATTTTTAATCTGTTTTTCTCCCTGAATAATCAGATAGTGTAATATTCTGAAAAAAAATCAGTTTGAGCCTTTTTCAACGTTTTACACACAAAAAAAAAAAAAAAAGAATCTGATTCTTTTTGAGTTTCAAATGTTTGGCTTTTTCAGGCTTAAACCAGGATTATGGCCATTGTATCGAGGTAAATGCTTTTTTTTTTCCAATCAATTTTTAGATATCCTATTCATACATGTGCAAATTTTAAGCTAATGTTTGCATGTCCCTTTTGGGCAACTAATGATTATATTGTTAATTATGTTGCCCATAATAAATATGTACTGGTCTTTTCTATTTGTTTAGATTTAGGATTTGGTAGCTGCTGTTGATAGATGTAAATGGATGTATGGAAAATGAAAGCTTGACAGTTTAACCTCTTCATAAATTATGAAACATGGATTTTGAAATTGAAGTTGCTTAGTTAATTTTTTACTGCTAAAAATGTGAAAAAGCACTAAACAAGTTTCATTTACCCAAATTTCTTTATTTACTCTGAAATTCAAAATATGCAAATGAAAGAAATGTATTGATAGCATGCTCTCCTCAGCAGCAGTAGAGTAGTTGGAATAAATTATGAATCCTCTGGATAATTTCATAAATATAGTATACCTTTGAATTTGATTCGGAAGAAAATTCCAACTTTAGGTGCAAACCTAAAGTGTGAAGAAATTGGGATATAGAGCATGTGTCGTATTTCATTATCTCAACTATATTACTGAAGCTGATGCTTATGGTATGCTAGCTTGTGAAACAATGTAACATAAAATTTTATATATGACCAATTGATGCACAGTTTTATTTTGTTCACATTTTCTGCTGCTTTTATTTTTATTTTTTTTGTAAAGAAAGTGTATTAAATAAAGGGCACCCCAACCTTATACAAGATAAATCATTGTCCTACATCCTACTTCATACCAGAACCAGATCATCATACACAGGAACAGAAACTGAAACTGAAACTGATTCTTTTTTTTTTTTTTCTATACAGCTGTCATATTTTGTCCATTCCTTCTACTTCGCCTACACCCTAAAACTGACTCCTTACAACCCCTTTAACTATTCCAATAGATTTAAACTTAATAGACTATATAACAAGATTGGGAACCCCATGATGGATTATAGCATTGTTTCTATTCAAAGCCAAATTTCTGCCATTTCAAATTTAAGAAAGACAAATTTGTTATTCTTATTGATTCATACAAGTTTCTGACACCTTAATGTTCCCAGGTTTTTTTGTTGATATAAATTTATTTAAGGCAAATAAGGAGATGGCCGCCGAAATTTGTAAGAACAGTGTAAATGAAACTGGTAACTACAGCTCTGGGGAAGATGACTTTGCTAATGAAGATGCAAATTTAATGGTCAAATTGAAATTTCTTACATATAAGGTATACAACCTTTTGTGAAATATGAAATTATATCAATCAAATAACATTGTTTATGCAATTGTATGATAACATTGTACCTCTTAGAACATATATTATTTATAACTATTTCAGAGATTATAATATACTGTATTTGTTCTATCCTATAATTTTAAACTTCTCAAGTGATGAAATGTAGCTCCTGTGTTTTTTGCTTAATATACTGTATTTGTTCTCCTTAAGAGTGGGCACAAGACAGAAGCTGCAAAGAAATGCTAATGTCTTTGGTCTGGAACAATTCGTTACACTAATGCTTTAATGTGCTCAAAATACCAACCAGTCTGAAAAAGGTCTCAGCAAGGGTCCATTATATGCTTTAATATTTTGAATCCATGTTCTTTCTTGAAGCACCTTACTTTCATTTTAAGAACATCCTCATGCCCTTGTTTTTCAATCATTTCTTTATTTAAATGCCTTCAGTTTTCTTTAAGGTTTTAGAATTGTTTTGAGATTACATTGTAAAATTCTTCTCATTTCTTTGTGATATTAATAGGATTGACTCTTTGGTCAGGAATTATGTCACATTAGATACTGACTGACTTAACAAGGTTAACTTATCGAGGTTCTAATCATGAGTTGCTAATCTAATTTTTGAATCATGAATCATAATTTGTTTCAAATTGTTAGATTCAAAGACAGAAACAACTTCAAACATATCTATCCTATTGAGGCTGCGATTTTACACTAGAAATAGATACAAACAACTTAAACATTGGCCTCAGGAAACAAATTTATTAGTTATATTTGAGTTTCTGAAGCAATTATTTCATAAGGATAAAAATGAAGCAATGAAATAACCTAATAAAGTGGTGGAATAATCAAATAGGATAGTATTTTAAAAGAGACACTCTAATTCCCTTTCATTTAACAATTTAAGCTTATATGACTTTTCAATTTCTTTCATGAGAAAATAATGAATTGCAGAATTGTGTATCATAACTATGCTATTTCTTAATCTTATGTTGGATCTCTGAACCAGTTGCGAACCTTTCTCATTCGGAATGGTCTGTCAAATCTGTTCAAAGAAGGTCCAGGTGCTTACAAGGCTTATTACCTAAGGTAAATTTATATGTTGCTTGCATTTCAGAACTGAAACCTAGTTTTTAGAGGATTTTTCCTTTGCCATATTTTCACAAAGTTTACCTCTGGATAATTGTCTAACTGTATATAATACTTCATACATGTTTCCCAGTCAAAAGTTTCACAGTCGAGGTCTGAGATTGATGTGTGTGTGTTGATAGTTGGGAAGTTTATCCATCAACATCACTCTTTCTGCTGTATGAATTATGTATTTTTTGTGACTATTCTAGGGTGGTCAATATGAGTTCTTACCCGTAAGTCAACCTAGCTCACCATGGATTCGAGTTGGGCTGAGTTCTATTCTTTTTTTATCAAATGTGGGTTAAAATGAACTCGGTTCACTTAACCTCCAATGGATTCAAGTTGGGTTATTGTAAGTTGACTCACAACCCACAATACATTTTAAATTTTAGAAATAATTAATAATTTAATAAAAATCTAATTTCGTTCATTTACGTTATCATACATTTGTGCTGTTACAAGCCAACAAAGTCACCTTCACTCAAGGTTGTTGTACCTGCATCGCTTGCCACCCATTACGTCCTTTGTGTCTACCACTGCGTTCGTCCACCACCACATTTGCCACATCTGCATGTGTCTGTCTGCCTTTGTTGCGTCCATTGCCTCTACTGGGTCTCTGGCCTCCATTGCATCCATCGCCTTTGCTACATCCACCACATTTACTAGATTTGTTGTATTCGTAGGAGGCTAGTGAGCCAACTCAACTAACCCACCAATGTGTAGTGGATTGAGCCGGATTGTAAAATCGTTGACTCACCATAAAGTGAGCCGGATTGAATTCGCCTATTTTTAGCTCAACATGTGGTGAGCCAACCCGTATGAGCCGGTTTGACTCACTTTGACATCCCTAGAAACGACGACTTGATAAAAAGGATTTTTGAATTTTTGAACTTCCACAAAACTACCAAATTGGGTTTGAACGTTATTAGTAGTCTATTTCGTAATTTGACTATTTCCTTCCTGCCGCATGATAAAGTACCTCTATGATATACTGAGGTTATCAAAATCAAGTTTTCACTTGTAGGATTGCTTGATTTTAGATGCCTTAGGCAAGGCAAAAAGGTTGCAGAATCATTTATGCGCAGACTAACTTGAGCATCATTAAGCAAACTTAGACAAAATCTGTTAGGACCTGGGTTGTAAGAACTTGGAAAAAGATTACTCACACCGTCTCTCCTCCCAAATATCAGCAGCACAACTCAGGAAAAGAATGATTATTGTATTCAAACACACCACAAACAGAATACAGCCTTCTGTCTTCCACAATCACAGGAAACGATGATCCTGCCTACTTCTATTACAAAACTCTCTCTCTCCCTAACCCACCCATTACATGGTATATATATAGCCTCCCCCCCCACGCAACAACTCTCATCCTATAACTAACGGTTTAGTTAGCTTTTATTTATTTAATATTCTCTTCTTCCTAACATACACTTTTAACTCCCTATCATTACTCCCTCCTGCGGCAACAACCTTGTCCTCAAGGTTGAAGTCTGGAAATTGATATTTCATGGTAGATACATCTTCCCAGGTTGCTGCCTCAGGGCCAGCAAACTGCCCTGAACTAACACTTGAGGAATCCTTTCCCCTTTTTCTTCTGTCTGCACACTTCTCCTATCAATTATTTTGCTTGGTAAGCACATAGATGGGCTGCCCTGCAGATCCTTTGGAAGTTCTTTTTCAACTGCATGTGTCCCCACTACCTTTTTAAGCTGAGAAACGTGAAATACTGGGTGGATACGAGCTGTCTTTGGAAGTTGTAAGTAGAAAGCAACCTGGCCCACCTGTCGTAGTACTAGGAATGGACCATAATATCTGGCAGCTAACTTGGGATTTAATCTCGCTGGCATTGAGACTTGCCTGTGAGGTCTGATCTTTAAAAATACATAGTCTCCCACCTTAATGGACGATGGCCTTCTGTGTCTGCTGGCAAACTTTGTCATCTGTTGTTGAGCTCTGTTTAAGTGAAATTTAAGCTGCTTCAAAGCTTCATCCCTGGCTAGAAGATCTTGTGCTATTGCCTCCACCGCTGTTTCACCTGGCACAAAACGATGTAAGGAAGGAGGGGATCTGCCGTAAACTACCTCAAAAGGAGTGGTATTAGCCGCTCCATGGAAGCTAGTGTTGTACCAAAACTCAGCCCAGGGTAAGAACTGAGACCAAACCTTTGGTTGTTCTGAACTGAAACACCTCAGATACGTTTCGAGAGTTCTATTGAGGATTTCTGTTTGCCCATCCGTTTCTGGATGGTAAGCAGTGCTTATTTTGAGTGTGGTTCCCTGCAAATGGAACAACTCCTTCCAAAATAAACTCAAGAAGGTTGGGTCCCTGTCACTAACGATTGAGGCTGGTATCCCATGCAACCTCACCACTTCTTTCACAAACACTCCTGCCATGCTTCTAGCTGAATATGGGTGCTTCATAGGGATAAAATGACCATACTTGCTTAGCCTGTCCACCACCACCAATATTGCATCAAACACATTGGACTTAGGGAGGCCTACTATAAAATCCATACTAATGTCTTCCCATATAGCATTAGGAATACGTAATGGCTGCAGCAGTCCCTGGGGAGATGAAGCTAGATATTTATGTTGCTGGCATATCAAGCATGCTGCTACGAACTCTGTTACTTGATTTTTCATCCCAATCCAATAGAGGGACTGTGCAATCCTCCGATAGGTCCGAAAAACCCCTGAGTGGCCTCCTGTTGGTGTAGTGTGGTATTCTGCCAGCAGTTTAGGTATCCATTGAGAGGAAGCGAATAAAACTAACCTCCCTTTATGATGTAGTCGTCCCTGTTCCATAGTAAAATGCCCATGTGCCCCTGGGTGGCTGATCAAATTCTGACATATTTTCTGAAGCGCAGGATCCTGTTTAACTTCTTCTGTTATTGCCGGAAAATCTAACCAAAAAGGTTGGGATAGGACCCGTAACTCCTTATCCTCCTTAGTCCAGTCCTCCCATGTTCTGGACAATGCATCAGCAACCTTATTAGATGACCTTGTTTTGTACACAATGTCGAATTCATACCCCAAGAGTTTTGCCAACCAGTTTTGTTGGTTCTACGTGGTTATTCTCTGCTCCAATAAATACCTCAAACTCTTTTGATCTGTAAAAACTGTGAATCTCTGACCCAACAAATAGGGTCTCCAGTGTTGAATGGCCAACACTAATGCCATAAGTTCTTTCTCGTAAACTGACTTGGTAAGGGATGAATCTGACAAAGCTTTACTAAAGAAAGCAATGAGTTTCTTATTCTGAGATAAGACTGCACCTATTCCACTTCCTGAGGCATCACATTCAATAGTAAAAGGCTGAGTAAAGTCTGGCAGCACTAAAACTGGGGCTGTTGTCATGGCTTGTTTGAGTTCTTCCAAAGCTTCCTCACTCTCCTTATTCCATTCAAAGTTTCCTTTCTTCAAAAGATTGGTCAGAGGTCGAGCTATTCTTCCATAGTTCTGTATAAACCTCCTGTAGTACCCCGTGAGTCCCAGAAAACCCCGTAATGCCTTAATGGTTTTGGGCTTAGGCCATTGTTTAATTGCAGCCAGTTTCTCGTCATCCATCCCTACTCCTTTGCTGGATATCACATGCCCCAAATATTTCACCTCCTGTTTGCCAAATTCACATTTTTTTCTATTTGCATAAAACTGTTGCTGCAACAACGTGCTCAACACCTGCCTTAAATGATTTATGTGGTCCTTCCACGTTCTGCTGTATATCAGAATGTCGTAAAAAAAAACTAGTGCACATTGCCTTAACCACTTCTGAAGTATGGTATTCATGGCACATTGAAATGTAGCTGGAGCATTAGTTAGCCCGAAGGGCATAACTAGAAACTCATAGTGCCCCAGATGTGTTTTGAATGCTGTCTTAGGTACATCAGCCTCATGCATTCGTATCTGATGATACCCAACCTTCAAATCCACCTTTGAGAAAAATTGTGCCCCATGTAACTCATCTATTAACTCCTCAATCACAGGGATTGGGAACTTATCTGGTACTGTAGCCTTATTTAAAGCTCTATAATCAATACAAAATCGCCAGCGCCCATCCTTCTTTTTTTACCAAGATAATTGGGCTGGAGTAAGGGCTATTGCTGGGTCTAATTATGCCCATTTTAAGCATTTCTGCTACCTGTTTTTCAATTTCAGATTTCAATAAATGAGGGTACCTGTAAGACCTGACATTAACTGGGTTTTCCCCTTCTTTTATGGGAATCCTATGATCCACTGGTCTCTCGGGAGGAAGCTCCTGAACCTCCCGAAAAATATTACCAAACTCCTCCAAAACTGTCTCCAATTCAACCTTTTGTCTGGAAGATAAAAGCTTCTCCCTCTCTCCACTGTTCTGACTTTCAGGTATAGCCAATTCCCATAAAAAAGTCACCATCTCTATTTCTGTTTCCTTTAACAAGGCTTGGGGAGTTATCAATTTTTTTGCAAGGGTGGGGTCCCCTTGAATCCTGACCTGCTGCCCTTTCCATTCAAAATCCATAGTCAACTTTTGCCAATTCATTTTCACGTCTCCTAGGGAAGCCAACCAAGTCATCCCCAATATTAAATCTACTCCTCCAAGCTCAAAGAGGAAAAAAGTTTCTGACACTTCATAATTCTGCAGCTCCACTTGCACGTCCCTACAACACCCTTTAGTTATTTTCTTGTGCCCATCTCCTAACTTGACACAATAATGATTCGTGTCCTCCATTGGTAGACCTAATTCTGACACCAATCTCGAAGAAATGAAATTATGACTAGCTCCACTATCAATCAAGATTAACAATCTCTTTCCTTTCACGTATCCCTGCAACTTCATCGTATTAGTAGGGGTTAGTCCTCCTGCCGAAAACAGAGACAACTCCATTCTGTTATTTTCCATTTCCTCCTTCTCTGTCTTTGTCCCTTCCTTCACGTCGTCTTCTTCATTTTCATCTTCTGCCATGATAATCACCCTCAAGTTTTTCTCTGGACACTTGTGGCCCGGGCTATATGGCCCTCCACAGTGGAAACACCTTCCTTCTTCTCTCCTTTTGATGTACTCTGGGTATGGCAGGTTCCTAAAGCCCCTGTTACGAACTTCTCCCACTGAACTTCCCCCCATTACTGACGTTCCTGGTGCACCACCCTTCTCCTTCCTGGCAGTGCTAATATTACTAGAAGTCGCCGGCGAGCTGCCAGCCCCTTGAAACGTCTCAGTTCTCGTCACCTTTCCTCCTCCTCCCTGAAAACGAAAACCTGTGTTCTTGTTTCGAAAAAAACTCCCTCCTATTGTATCAGTTTCTCTGCTGGCGTCTTCCACATCATGCGCTACCTCCATGGCTCTCAACAAATCTTTCGGGTCATGGGGTCTTATCTGTTTCCTGATTCCACTTTTCAATCCTGCCAGGAAATAACCCAGCAATTGTTCTTCCTCCATGGCTGGAGCTTGAGCCACTAGCATTTCGAATTCCTATATGTAATCCTTCACCTCTCCTTGTTTAATCGCAGCTAATCTCTCAAAGACAGTACTGCGATCTTTTCCCCCAAAACGTCTGTTCAAGGCTAGGGTAAATCCTTCCCAAGATGGGTTCTTGGTTTTTTGTTTCCAGAACCTGAACCAATGACTTGCGGTTCCCTCCATGCTAATGAAAGCCAACCTTAGTTTTTCCTTGGAAGTAATATGCTGGATCTCAAAAAAATTTTCAGCCCTTCCTATCCACCCCATAGGATCTTCCCCTTCAAATGTAGGCAAATCAACCCTCTTCATCCACTGTCGTTGAACCATCTCCTCTTCTTCATCTGAATCACCTCCACGTTCCTCCCTTCCTCCAATACCTCCTTTCACCGAATTTTCACTCCCCTCCGATCCCTTCTCACTCTTCTTGAATGTTTTAAACATTTCTTTGAGTTCTTGAATGGAATTCTTGACTTCTGCATTTACTTTTTCTTGCTCGCTGGTCCACCTTTCTGCCCACCTTTCTAAAACTCCCAATCTTCCTTCCATAACGCCTCTAGGTTGAATCCGGCAGGTCGGACCAAACTTGTTAGGTCCTGGGTTGTAAGAACCTGGAAAAAGATTACTCACACCGTCTCTCCTCCCAAATATCAGCAGCACAACTCAAGAAAAGAATGATTATTGTATTCAAACACACCACAAACAGAATACAACCCTCTGTCTTCCACAATCACAGGAAACGATGATCCTGCCTACTTCTATTACAAAACTCTCTCTCTCCCTAACCCACCCATTACATGGTATATATATATAGCCTCCCCCCCACGCAACAACTCTCATCCTATAACTAACTAACGGTTTAGTTAGCTTTTATTTATTTAATATTCTCTTCTTCCTAACATACACTTTTAACTCCCTATCAAAATCACAATTTCAAGGTCGTGTTCACAATTTTGATAAATGGCATTTTTGTTTACCATGAGGTGTTTTTGTATTCGTTTTGAATCTTTGTGTTCTCTGTTGAAGACAGACGAACCAATCAAATTCAAAGCCATTGAAGGCTTCTCAAGAACCAATTGAAGCTTTCCATAGTTGTTTGTTTTTTCTCTTCTTTTTTTTTTTTTTCATCTATGTTAAAGACTATTAAGGTTCCAACATAAAACCAATTGACAATATATGGAGTAGCCTAACATGTATTTAAACCATACCAAATGATATGAGGTAGGCGATGTGAGACTTCCAGCATGCCCTCTCCAACGAAGCCTGCAGGACCAGACAAAGGGTACTTTTGACCCAACGAAAGGATAACTTTTGGCCCAAGACAATAAACAGAAAGATGTTAGGCTTTGGCTCTGATACCATGTTAAGGTTCCAACATAAAACCAATTGGCAATATGTGGAGTAACCTAACATGTATTTAAACCATACCAAATGATATGAGGTAGGCGATGTGAGACTTCTAACAAACACAGGTCAAGGATCTCAGCAGCACTGTGAAAGAGATCCTTGGGACTTGCATGCTGTTCATGGAGATGTTGAGGATCTTCTTAATTCATGTTAATCCAATTTTAGTGTTTTGATTTCATTATGTTTCTTTTTTGGGCAAATTTGTTTTATTTTTTAATTTTGGGTTTCATTTAAAAATGGTTAAAGTAGTCATGTGAAGAATGATGGTTAAGAATATAGGTTGATAGCTCATTGTTAGAATTTGAGCAATTTTTGAATGAAGGATCATCTATAAGTGTTAAGGCTAATTAGAGAAATTTGAAATAATATATACTAGAGTGAGCAAAATAACCATTTTTCAGTATGGACAAAATATGTAAATTTTTTTACTAATTCGTTCTCAATACAATATATTTTTCTTCATTATGGAGTTGAAATGTTGGATTATTGTTTATGTTAGAAGTATTATTTTTCATGCATATGTTATTTGTAGGAATTTTAATATTTTTTTATTATATTTGGTAAACTTGTAAGATGAGTTTAGTTTACGGAATCTTCAAAAGTTTACATAAACTCTTAAGTGTGACAACTTTGCTCTCAACTCCCAAAACATACCTGTTTAGAACAACTCCATTTATCTTCCTATTTATCTATCAGCTTGGCAATTGTACTCTCCTGGTTCAGTAACTATGAGGACATAATTCAATACTTGGTTGGACAAGATGTTCTTGATGTTGCAATATATTGAATGGGAATTCTTTGATATTGCTGTATTGTCAATCATAATCATTTGAAAGATGTTAAGTTACAGTATCTTTATTCTTGTCATCCAAGGTTAAAATCTGAATTAGATTTTTATTTATTTTTTTAACTCTGCAGACAAATGAAAAAATGGGGGACCTCTCCAGAAAAGCAGAGAGAACTTAGCAAGATGCTTGATGAATGGTACTTCCTGAATCATTCCTCCCTATTGCCCCTAACTATGAGTTGGACTTTCTGCTAAAGAGTTTTTTTTTTTTTCCCACGTTCTTCTTTCTACTTTGGTTGGTGCATCCGGTTATTATCTTTTCTTTTCTCTGCTTACAGGGCTGTGTATATAAGAAGGAAGTGTGGGAATAAACAACTGTCATCATCAACCTATCTGAGCGAAGCCGAACCTTTTCTTGAAGAGTTTGCAAAACGTAGTCCACAGAACCAAGTTCTGATAGGTTCTGCTGGTAATTTAGTCAGAACTGAAGATTTCATGGCTATTGTCAAGGAAGGCCAGGATGAAGAAGGTGATCTTGTGGCAGAGCGGAAGATAGCACTGCCAGGGCCTAATATCTCAGTCAAAGACAGTGTTCCAAAATATGAAGGGTTGATTGTATTCTTTCCTGGTAATTCTTTTACTGTGCATGTAGTTATTCCTAACAATTAGATTTATATTTGCATGTTCATCATTTACAAAACCATTGAAGATCAAGAGAACTTAAATTGAGTAATTAGAAGTATAAACAAAATTTTAAATGTGAGCATTTACAGTAGTTCACGACTCATACTATAGTAGTGAGGCAATATAAATTGCTTGCAACTCCGTGGATTGACTGCGTTTCTGTTTCATAACACTTAGGGTGTGTGGAAAAAATCTCCAGTTGGTTTTTAAAACAATATGCATTTAGTGTTTAATTAAACTAATGTGTGGCCAAGGACAGACATATGAATTGTCCATGAATTTAATGATTCCTCCTGCCTCGGTATTGCTTCAAGAACTAGGATTTGGTGTTAACTTACAGTTCCAAGTTTTGACTCTTTCAGTATTCAATCAAAATAAAAGCAAGTAAAGTTAACTAAAAATTTAAGTTACGAATGTAAATTTGGAGTTGTGGTTGCGAGTTTCAAGTAAACTTCAAATATTGCTTATTGGTGTTACATTGTTTTGAAGAGGTTTACGGTAGAGGTTTTGCATTATTCTGTTGGCTGAACTTGTGGGTGTAGTTTACACACAATAGATTCTGTTGTTGATATTGTTTACCCATAATTTCCAGTTTCATTTAATACATTCGTGCAGCCCAGTGTTTGATTTTTTATGTTTAAGACTCCTCTTTAAGGTATTTCACCATTCCTCCAGGAATACCTGGTTGTGCTAAGTCCACCCTTTGCAAAGAATTGCTAAATGCCGAAGGAGGACTAGGAGATGATCGACCAGTTCACAGTCTCATGGGTGATCTGATTAAAGGTTGATTTTCTTAAAAGACTGTTTATAATGGTGCTTAAATTGCAGAGGTTCTTAATATGATTCAGATTCATATTACACATCCCATTGCTCCAGTGGTTGTATATACAAGAGCCATTAATATTCAGTGGAATTATTATATGTTAGATTTTACTATTAATTGTTTAAGCAGTGATAGGTTCCTTAAACTAGGATTCATAAAGCATATTATTCTTGAATGAATGCATATGTTTATCAGGTCAGTTCTGCTTCGAACTGATATGGAGTATTGTGGAGTATGAACAGGAAAATATTGGAAGAATGTGGCTGAAGAATTCAGAAAGAAACCAAATTCGATAATACTTGCTGACAAGAATGCCCCAAATGAAGAAGTTTGGAAACTGGTTAGTGTTTCTGACTACTTTCATTATGGCCAACTGAATTTATTTCTTCCGTCTCCTTGTGTTCCTCTTTTGTCCCCTTAGGTTGTTAATTAGGATTTGGTTGGTATTATTCTTCTTTTAATAGTAAAATTGAGATATTTAATAAAATAGTAAAGTGAACCATTGTTGTCAATGCCCGATAGTAGCATTCTATGACCAATGCCAAAAACACTATAGTATGTGTCATATTCACTGTTCCTTGGAATATATTTAATAAGGTTTTTGGTTATATTTAATTATTAACAATAATTTTTTTTTTAAATTCAAAATATTTTAAATAACAAGGAAATTTATAAATGTAACAATACAATAACTTCCCATATTTCCGTGGGAATGAAAACTACCTACAGCATGAGAATATAGGTTTCCTGGGAATAAAGATACCAGAGAATCACTTTTGGTACCACAGTCTGGTTGGATATTGATAGGAGATCTGTATTTCGAACAAAATTCATGGAGATTTTTATTTAAACAGACCCTACAATGGGATAACTGCCATATCGAAAATGCACAGACATATAATTAAAACTGCACAAATATAAATGCTAAAAATACACAAAATTAAAGACATTTATATTTAATAATCGAATATCATAGTCTAAACACAAGAAAGGAGAATACAGAGATGAAGGTGTGGCAAAACAGAGCAGAGACCTGTGAAATGCTTGTGGGAGAGTTAGACTGCTAAACCTCTATGAAGAGGGAACAGGCAGGGGAAAGCGAGTGGGATTGGCTGGAGTACCATTGGGTTGGCAAAAATAGCTGAGTCTGTCTATGAAAGATGTTGGGTACCTGAAATATAAATCCTTTTTCTGTAGAGCTCAAAAAGAAGTTTGCTTTCAATGGAATTAATCAAGGGAGATGGTTTTGAACCATAAAAGGCTCTATATACCAAAAGAATAGGAAATAGACAATCAAAGAATTCTCCCCTCACCCCATGAATAGGTGGGAAACCACAGAAAACAAGGCCAAAGTTGGGTTTTTGTAGACTCCACTAACTGTAGCAGCAAAACAATTTGTAATACGGATGCGATGGTGGGTAATTGGGTAATTGCCATAACACGACATAGTGACACAATGGTAGTGTTAAGATTTTTCTTTTACCAGCAAGCGCATTAAGTGGTTGTAGTATAAACAAGTATCGTATTCTCAAGGATTCGTGAAATATTCAATAACATTAATAGATTCAAGTTTAACTTGCAATTAAAAAAGAAATTTAGACATGTTTGATAAATTAATTGTGAAAATTTTAGTTTAAGCAGAAAACTACTTTGTGAAACTACAGTATCTAATAGATGTATTGAGAATGAATTTCGCTTATCTCCTTCTTTTGTCTTCTTCTTAATCACTATTTAATTTTTCAGCTCGGTGCTATTGAATCCTAAAATTTCTTCTAAGTAATCTCTTGCTTTAGAGTTTATAAAAATCCTATTGTAACAATTAATCCTTTGAATTATTAAAATAAGCTTTTTTGCATTAAGCCCAAGATTATATCAACTAATAATATCACATTTATTCCTAGCATACAATATTATTAGATGATTTGATTTAAACATATCAAAGTTCAGTTTTCCAACATAAACCCAAAACAGAAATCAAAAGATGGTTAATTAAGCTACCTTAGCTTTAAGCATAAAATCAAATCATTAACACTGAATAGCAATATATATGTAAGTCAAGAGAAGTACATGAGAAGTTAATAAGTTACATTCAATCTCAATACAGAATAAACTTAGCTACTCATGGTGGGAATAGATACAAACTAGAGTTAGAAGCCCAGGGGTAGAACTTAAGTTTTCTCCATCCCCTTTTCAGTCTCTTAAACCCTATTCTCCACTCTAGTGTTTTTCCAGCCGCCACTTAAAAGCTTATTCTGCTTTTTATTTGTTTTCTGTTTTAATGATTCCTAGCTCAAGCTACTGTTTCTCGCTCAAGTGAGAAAGAAACTTCATCCGGGAGAAACTTAGTCTCGCTCAAGCTAGAGTCCCCTCGCCCAAGCAGAGTTAAACCCAAGAGCTACCATAAGTTACAACTTCTCTCACTCAAGCGAGGTATGTCTCGCTTGAGCGATGTTAAATTTGAGAACCACCAAAAGTTACAGCTTCTCTTGCTCAAGCGAGGAATGTCTCGCTTGAGCAAAATAGAGCCCGAGAGCCACCAAGAGTTGCAGTGTTTCTCGCTCAAGCGAGGTATGTCTCGCTTGACGAAATTCTACCCGAGAACCACCATTAGTTGCAGCTTTTCTAGCTCAAGCGAGGTATGTCTCGCTGGAGCTAGAGTTCCCTTGCTTAGTTGACCAGTCAACTTTTTCTACTCTTCTAATCTCTTTTCCAATAGTTGATTGATTTCTTTCTTCTTCTTCTTCTTCTTCTTCTTATTTTTAGTTTATGTATCTAATCCTGCACAAAAAGGATATAAGCAATTTATTTTAAATTGGGAAAATTCCTAGCAAAACTTAAGGTAAAATTGTTGTTAAGTGTTCCTCAAAAGCTTAAATTATAAGTAAATTTCATCACTTAACAGGCAGCTGAAAACCATTATTGACTACTAATATGCACAAATGCGTAATTTTTTCTTTTTAATGTTTGTGGCCTTCAATCAACGCTGCAGCCAGAAGAACTGGACATTGTTAAACCCAATTTCCAGGTGCCAGGTAGGAAAGTATTTATTTTAGAAATGTGTATGTGTACTTCACAAGGAAAGAAAGTTTAGGGGGATGGAAGTTGCCTCCTTCTTCCAAGGTGAGAGCATGCTGCTGCAAGGGATATGCAGTGTTACTTTTGCTTTTGACTTGGTAGTCTACTTCTGAAGCATTCTTGTCTGGCTATAATTTCTATAAATTAACCTAGCCACACTTGTCAAATATGCAGATAGAAGATATGTGTCGCAAAACCAGAGCATCTGCTATACCGGTTGTACCTGAATCTGAAGGTTATAATTGTTGTCAGTTCTGAATTCTTTGTATTGACTAATCTGTTATTATTTTCTTTTAGATATAAGAACAACATGTCTTACATCACAGCATAAATTTGGAAGATTTTAGTTGATATGCTTTAGTCCCTAAAACCTAACTTGCTTAAAATGTGGAACAAATTAAAATTATGGTGATCTGGCTTGGTTACATAAGTAACAGCTGTGTCATGCTTCTTGGTGGTAAAATATCCTGACTTATTTTTAGCTTAATTTTCTCATACTATGTTTTTCATTATTAAAGAACTTGACTTGTTTTTATGAACATTATCTAATACAATGTTTCTTGCTAAAGATGAATTTCCTTTATTATCATCATCATCTCTGTATTTTATTGTGCAGGAACTCATACAAATCCATTTTCTCTTGATGCATTAGCTGTTTTTATGTTCCGTGTGCTTCAGCGAGTCAATCATCCGGTATTCAATGTTTTGTTATCCTGGATATATTTTTCAAAAGTTTTATTACCTTCCACTGACTTTATTTGAATTTTTCAAATTTATCAAGGGAAATCTTGACAAAGCATCTCCAAATGCTGGCTTTGTGTTGCTAATGTTTTATCATCTTTATGATGGCAGGGTACAAAGCTTCTTTCATTTTTACACCAATTTGTTTATATTTTTTTATTTCCTAAACTGATTTTGCCTATATTTTCAGAGCCGTATAGATTTTGAGTTTGAATTGATTCAGCGCTTTGGGTCACTTGTCAAGATACCACTACTAAAATCTGATAGGTACTTTCATGTTACTACTTTATATTCACTTTTCTCAATATTTTAATTGTATTTTCTTGTTATCATTCAATGTTCTTAATAATTAACAGCCTGGTAGTATTGATTGTGTTATCTTTCAACTATTCTCCATATATACTATTTTTACATTGATAAAAAGCTACCGGTTAAAATTTACTACTTCTGGATTAAAACGCTTGATTCTCAAGAGAAAGAGTGAAAGGTGTACTTCCATTGTCTAGGGAACAACATAGATATAATTATCAAATGTGATTTGCCAGTGGTGCTAAAGGAACAACCCATAGCAAGCTTTTGGTTGAACAATTTGTGTTTATATATCAGTGTTAGAAACCCTAGCAGAACTCACTTGAATGGGGTGAATCTACTCTATTATTCTTCTGAAAATACTTGTAGCAGTATGAGATTTTTATCATTTGTATCCTTATTATAAATAGAAACACAATAGGTGACACAAGGTGTTAAATGTGTATGCCATATTGCTTTCTACATATTTCCCTATCCCCTTCTTGTAGTCATACAATTCAATTTCCCTCTGTTTCCTTTGATATTACCTCGCTGAAAATATGTTACACAAATGGTTCAATCCCATTCATTTGTTATATCCTATATTAAATATTTGATTCTTTTTTATTTACTTTTTCTTTTAAACAAAGGTGCTCGGAAGCAGTATTCTCCTTGATTACCTCTCTGCATCTTATCCTAATATAAACTTAGTAATCATTGTTTCACTAACACAGCAACGCACCCCATCATGCTAGATAATTTTAGGCCCGAAGCATTGACAATGCATAGGCCCATTAAAAAGTTATAATATCATAAAGTTATAATATCATATGAAGGGCAACTCCATAAAAAGTTTAGGTTTTATGTAAAAAGCTCAGGATTGATTTTATATCTAATTTGTAAAATTATCCAATTTTCTTACAAATGCTGATTGTGAATGAGGGAACAATTTGCTGTACCATAGTATATGGTGCAGCAAATTCTGCTATGATATTTTTGTAGAAAGTTAATGGCACTATTGATAAGAAAGGAGAATAAAAAATTCATTACTCTAAGATAGCGGTCTTAGCTGATTCTGGTCAAGAGCAGCTAGAACACCTAGTTTATAGCGGTTTAGAAGGAAATGCAATACTGTTGCAGAGATTATCCTGTCTCTGAATAAGGATTTTGTTTATTCATATGTTGTGGTATACATCTTTTAAACACTAGTTGGGTTCACGTAGTGATTTTTCTTTTTTTTTTTCAATAATTTAAACCCAAGCTTAGTTACCATAACGAACTGTGAGTGTAGAGTTTCGGGATTTCGGGGGGGGGGGGGGGGAGTATTTATTAATTTTCCAAATTTCTAACGTTTTTCACTATTTGCTTTCAAGGCTTCTTAGAGAAATAAAGAGTTTTAAGGTGTTTTGTATTATTCCCATTTTGTGGGACTGTAGTAAGTCTAGTTTGAACTCAATTCAGGAATTATTAGTCTGCATTCTTTATTGTTTTTATCAGTTGTCTGATAGGCAGTATTGCTTATTTAGCTGGTTTCGGCTCAGCTCAGGGTTTCTTCCATATATGCAAGGGAATGGAGAATCTAGAGTTGTTATTTAAATGATGCACCTCCCCTCTCCTTTAGTAAAATTCCTTTTTGGGAAATATTATGTAAAATAAAAATATAGAAATGGTGACACGTGTTAGAAAATAGAGAGGTTAAAAATGGAAGAAAATGACCATTAGATTCATAATTGAGAATACTTACTCATAGACTTACAACGAATTTAGAATCCCTAAAATATCTCACTTATTATTAGATTTATTTCAAATTTGAAGTAACTAACTGAAACAATTCATAACGTAAAATTTTCAACAATAACAAAATCACTAATAAAACTTTGTTTAAAATTCAAAATTCAAGTACGGCAAAATCTTAAAATTCTAGCACTTGTCCATATGTCAAGATTTGTCATCTCAAATTCATTTTGCATGGACTTATTGAAGTTCTTGTCACCCAATCTTTCATGCCAAATATCACTTTCATAAATTTTTACAATAGAATAATGATCTTCATATAATACTGTTTCCAATCATTTCAATATTTGCAATCTCAACTTCATGCTTATAAATTATAAAACAGTAGCTCTGTTTGAAAGACACTTCAAATCCCCTAAACAATTGTGTAACACTAAGAAAATTTTGATATAATTATCATACCTTTTTTATGTTGTATAAAAATTATTCCTTTCCTTTGGCTTGCACAATTTTATTAATTCCCAATTTGGCTGAGTTGAATTGATCTATCAATACAGGAAAAAATCGAAAAAATATTTGATCATTTGGCTAGTGCAATCACTGTTAATAAGCCAAGTAATCAATTCATGTAAATTAAGTTCTTATGATGCCATAAAGTAATACTCATCATCATTGTTATCTTCCCTTTTCCTGTTGCTCAAGCTGTTTGTTCTTCAATTTTCAATACTTTTTTCACAGCAGACATGTTTGTTGCTTGCAGAAAATAACAGTGATAAAGAGGTTTATCTTTGTACCAACAATATTCTTCAACATGGTTGGTTCTTTCGTAATGAGAACAAGACAAAAACTTTCTTTTTTCTATAAGTATCTTCAACTTTCCCTTTGTTATTGGAAGATTGTGTAAAATGTCTTCCATTATGTTTTGTCAAAAGACACCTTCAATTGCATCACAACTTTTCCTTGATACTCTTTTCTCTTGTGCATGAAGCTTGCTTGTTAGCCCTGTAATTGTGGGAGTTTGTAAATCAGAATACTTTTCAATTGCAAAGATATTGGGTTCAAACTTTCAAACACTGAAGCCATGATTTTCTCAACAACCTTCTAATAAGTAAACCATCTCTCACCAAAAAGTTGCATTTGATTCACAACATCCATTTACCTGCCATAACAATTTTTGACAAATTTTTATCCTTCTCCTTCATCAATTAAAATATTCTCTTCAATGTGAGAAGTCTAACATACTTGACTTTGCTACTGCCCTCAAATTCATCTTGGATCTTGTCTCACACTTGTTTAGGTGTTTCAAATTTCACGTTTTTTGTAAAAATGTGACATGCAAGTTTTGAATACAAGCAGGTGGTGTTTTATATTTCCTCAACTTCTCCTAAACTTTAAGCTGAGGAATAGTACTATTTTCTCTCAATGGTTGTGGATTACCGTTTCTTATTTGTGCTTTTCCCCTGTGCAGGACTGCCCTTCCTGGGCCAGTGCAGTCCATTTTGAAGGAGGGAATTAATTTATATAGAAATCACGCACTCACACCTGGAAGGTCGGTTTTATGATATTTCACTTTCCTGCTTGAAAGTTATTAAACTATATTTTTATTTGAGCTGTTTTATGTGTGTAGTGGATATAATAATTGCTACAACAACCATCGCAATAGGATTTGTGACTTTTTTTCATCTCTATTATGTGTATATTGGGATGTAATCTGATTAAAATGCATAGAACTTGCAGTTAAAGTGAAGGAACACCCATCTGTGTATAAGCCACCCGAGCTTCAGAAATTCAGTGCCTCACTGTGTCAAGTTCTGATATTTATTTTAAGATGCTGAAGATGTTTTCTTCTTCCTTATGTTTTAAATCAAACTGGAATCTCAATCTTACTTCATTGTTGGTCAAACTTCATTTTGAATTGCCAAGTCTTGAGATTTCCTCTATTGATTATGGTTAGGTCCTAACCCGAGGCTATATATAGTATATCCTCACCCTCCAACTATCATAGTGCTTTAATGCACTGGATTTTTTCTATCCCATCGTGTTCATTTAGCTGTAATTGAATTATTGATGACTTCTGATATCTGTTATCTTGATGGTTGACAATAATATGTCAACTAGCTTCTGTTTACTCTTTTTAGCCCCTCTTTGGTGTAAACCGAGATGCCGACAATTTTAAATTGATCCTTATTGTATAGATTAGATTCTACCAAAGGATATTACGAAAAAGAATGGATAAAATGGGAGAAACAGTTACGGGATATTCTTTGCGAAAATGCTGAGTATTTTAATTCTATTCAGGTTAGTACATGTAGCACCCTTTTTCCCAGTTCTTTTTTTGTCCACTCTTAACTGTGTCTATTTTAACATTTTAATAACATTTTAGCGCTATAATTTCCTCAAAATGTCTGCAGGTTCCATTTGAGTTTGCTGTCAAGCAAGTGTTGGAACAAATGAGAAACATTGTTAAACGAGATTACACACCACCAAATACTGAAAAGAGGAAACTTGGTACCATTGTTTTTGCTGCTCTCAGCATGCCTGTTACTGAAATTAAAGGCGTCCTCAATAAAGTAATGGGAACTTTTAATCTTCTAGTTGCATTTTGTTATATATACTCAAATTAACTTGTTTCTGCTCAGCATAATTGTTGATTTTTAACTGTAAAGGCATTGAAGAGACACAGCCTGAATGACAAAGCAAGTCAATTATTTAAAGTTAAGGAGAGTAAAGTTTTTTGTTTTTTGGGTGGAGGTGGAGATTCTGAAGAAGTTAGAGGAAATTACTGTATATTTTCTTTTAGTAGCAATATAATTAACCGATTTATATCATCAAACTTATCTTATTACACCCAATGATCAGAGAATTGACAGGTGTGAGCAATTTTTTTTTCTCTGAAGATTGGATGAGTTCTTGGAAGTAGGTGGGAGGATGGCAGCTATAAAATTGCTTCCTAATTAGACGTGGAATTTTCCTGAGGGATAGATATTAGCCTTAACCAATATCTGGAAAATTGTTTAGTAGTTCCATTATGTGAAAGATGTTTTGTTACCTTCTGTATCGAAAATGTTATTCACATCAGTGTGTATTTATATTAGTTTTAAGAAGCAGTATATGATGCAATAATATGTATAATGCAGTTGGCCGACAGTAATCCCAAGATTGACGTATTCCTTAAAGACAAAGATTTCGAGAATCTTAATCGAGCTCATTTGACTCTTGCCCACATGAGAAGTCATGGCATCAAAGCCGTAGCTGATTATGGTATCCATCTTAATAAAAAGGTTCCAGTGGAATTGAGAGCACTGCTCTTCTCAAATAAAATGGCCGCATTTGAAGCTTGTCCCGGCTCAGTGGAAGGTGAGAAGGTAGTTTCAAAAAATCCGTGGCCTCATATAACCTTGTGGACTGCTGAAGGTGTTGCACCCAAGGAGGCCAACATGTTACCAGAGTTGTTTGCAGAGGGGAAAGCAAATCGAATTGACTTCAATCCTCCCATCATTTTGTCTGGCACTGTTGGCTTTTATTGAGTTCCTTTTACTACTCTTCTTTCCAGAACCAGCTAAAATAAAACAATATTTAGGGAAGATGATGGAGAATTTTTTGTAGGGGCGAGCATTTTCTCCTGAGAAATTGTGTATGTATAGGCTGTTTAGAAAAGCGAGTATTTGTTTCTGGAGTTTTATGGCCTTACTATTACCATATCAGGTATGATATTTTCTTATATCATATGTTGCGGTCTTTTTTTACCCATTCTGCTTGTGGTTATACATTTTTTTTTTTTTTCAAACTAATTTTCTTTTTTGCATCGTACACTGACCATGTCAATGAAGCATATATTAAATTCTGTGGATTTGACACTGGAATTGTTACAATAAATTAATTTTAAAGCTTTTGCATGAATGCGGAGTCAGAAGCTTCAACCACTGATCACATACTCTATTTGATAATTACTGTTGCAAAAGTTAATCAATGATCTAGATTATGCAGCATGGTGGCTGCAGAGAAATTTGGTTGTAGGGAATCTAAATATGTGAAGCAGAGAAATTTTGCATCATAACTTCCCTCATGTATTCATTTTCTGTATTAAGCAAAAAAACGTGATGTAATAAAAAAATAATAATAATAATAATAATAATAATAATAGTGTATCTTTCATGTTACATTAATGTAAAATATGTACTTTAGCCATAGAATCAGTGAGAATATAAAAAATATAATAATAGTGTATCTTTCATTTTCGGATTTGTTTTCTAAAAATTGATTCGTTATTTGTTTTACGGTGTTCATCATAATATTTCAAGCTTAACTTTGACCGTGTTTATCTATATTCAGCTATCCAGAGTAATTACAATTTCGATGGGTCACGCCACAATAATAGCAGTTGCGCTAGTTCCCTCTTTCGGCATTCTTAATTACATTAAAATATTACAAAAATTCTACTTAAGTTATGCTGAAGTTTTTAATAATGGCGTTAATAAGAATTTACATATTTATCAATGATTTTATATATAACATATTTATAGTGATTGTAATAAAAATCATGAATTTATAAACATTAAAACTAAAGAATATATTTATATGAACTAGAATAAAGAATATTTTTTTAGATATTAAAAATATTAAAATATTTGGGATTAAAATAAAAGTAAAAACAAAAAAAGTTCATTTAAGATATATAGTTAAACATCATAAAAAAATATGTTCGATAAATAAAAATAATTACTCTTCAAAAAAGATAAATTTGAGTTGCATCATAATATATATTATTACAATAATTTAGTTTTGTTTTTTCAAAGTCGAGTATTCAACTGTTGAGTACTTAATACTTTTGTTTTGATATGACCGGAGTGACTTCAAATATCTTTGGTTTTTATAAGGTAAAAGTTATTAGCCTGCGAATCATTTACATAATATGGCTAAATTTTTCGTCGTATTTGTATTCAAAAGAAGGAAAAGAAATTCCCAATACAAAAATTAAGCCACATTAAAATAATGCGAATCAAAATCTTATCATGGATATAAGAGTGAAATCGTAAGAGAGAGAATTTTCCACTATCCATCTCCCCCTCCTATGCTTTTCTTCGTGATTATACGCTAGTATTTCCCCACACGTATTCTGTCAGCCTTCTGTTCGGTGTTTTGGGTCTTGCGCCCTTGCCAATCGTCCTGCCCTCTACCCCAATTGACACATGACCATGACTAACCGTCTCTCCAACTGTGTCATCACCCTTCTTTTCTCAACTTTCTTATTTTGCCTCATTACAATTCCCCCTCCATTAAAATCAACCTTGGCCTGAAGGTTGAAAGTTGGAAAAGCCTCCACGGGCACAGATTGATCTTCACATGTAGCATTCTCTTTTGGAAGACCCTCCCACTGGACCAACAGTTGTGAAACCTGCTGATGCCCCCCCCACATAAGAAATCTAGACTTCAAAATCGCATAGGGTTGAATGACAGGTGGTACTTCCTTGTCAGATATAGGTAAAGGCAAATACTGCTCAGAATGATCTCCGTGGCATAGTTTCAATTATTAGTAGTAGACGGTAATTGAAGTTTATAAGCAACCTTGCCAATTCTTTCGGTAATAGTAAATGGCCCAAATTACCATAATCCTAACTTCTGATTTTTTTTTAAAGTCAAGGAATGTTTTCTGTATGGTTGCAACTTCATCAAAACTAAATCACCTATCTTGAATTCCATATTACGTCTCAGCATATTTCTTCTTTATTTATTGAGCCCTATGCAATTTAAGCTTCAATTTCTCTAGGATTGTATTACGAGGCAACAGTTGGTCCTTGACTGGAGTGGGATATGCAGTATCAACAATGTATTTAATAATATGTAGTTCTCTACCATACACTGTCTTGAAAGGTGTGATTCCAGCACTTCTGTGATAAGCTGTATTGTACCAATATTCAGCCCAAGAAAGTAACTTGGACCAATCCTTTAGTGCATTAAATGTAAAACATCGCAAATAGGTCTCAGACACATTTGTTGAGATCTCTAATTGGCTATCACTACAAGGATGGTATGTTGTTGACATATTCAATGTAGTACCACTTAGAAATATCTCCAAAAGTGACTAATGAAAACTTTGTCTCTGTTGGAAACTATGATGCAAGTGGTAAGGACAATCCTCTTTCGAGCAGGGGATAGCTCCAGAAAAGAAAGAAGTAATAAAGATAGAGATGATTCTGTAATCTTTTCTTCTCCTTTTTTTCGTTTATGTAATTTTGTTTATAGTGTTTTCGTTTCCTACAATTCAGAATCTATTGCCAAGTGTACAATAATATGTGAAAACACTACTAACAGAATTTCATAGCTAACAACAAATATTCTCAATGATACAAATATCAGAAAACTACTTTAATAAAATATAATCACTCATTCATATTGGTTTCTTATTTTGACGATTGGGCGGGTTCATCATTCACTTGCCTTCTCTCTTTCGTACATGTATCATTACCCCATCCTTCCAGAACAACCTTGTCCTCAAGGTTGAAGTTTGGATAAGAATTTCGGAATCTAAGTCTTCCCAGATTGCCTCACGCGTAGGGATGTCTACCCACTGTACCAGAATTTGCTGGCATGACCCTGTTGGGGTTAGCAAAATACGTGTGCCCAAAACTGTTTGTGGTTGGGACAGTATCCTAGTGCCAACAAGGTTAGGGGATAAAGCGGGAATCGATGGTGGTGGATCTCCATAGAACGGCTTGAGTTTTGAAATGTGAAAAACAGGGTGAATACGCGAATCCGACGGTAGGGCCAATTCATAAACTACCTTGCTAATAGTCTTAATGATCTTATAAGGACCCGAGTAGCGCTTAGCGAGCTTAGGTGAAGACCGACCCCTAACTGACACTTGCCTATAAGGTTGGAGTTCCAACCACACCTAATCTCCCACTTGGAATGTCCTGTCAAGTCTATGCGCATTAGCTTGGTTACGCATTCGTAGTTGAGTCAGGGCCAGATTCTCCCGCACCAATGCCAGTATGTGGCGCCTTTGAGTCAGAGCCTCATCTAAAGAGGCCAAAGCAGTGGACCCCGTAACATACGTTCTAAGATTCGGAGGACGGCCGTAGAGACCTCAAATGGTGTATAACGCAGGGCAAATTGGAAAGTGAAATTATACCAAAACTCTGCCAAAGGAAGAAAACTTGTCCATAGCTGCGGTGAATCGCCAATAGTAAAACGAAGATAAGTCTCAAGAATTCGATTGGTGACCTCAGTCTGGCCATCCATTTGAGGGTGCTGAAAGCTAAGGTAATGCCTTGTAACCGAAATAACTCATGCCAAAATTTACTAACAAATACTCGCTCTCGATCACTAACAATGGACTTAGGCATGTCATGGAGGCGATAAATCTCAGCTATGAAAATTGGAGCGAGGGATGAAGTTGAGTATTTTTCTGGAAGTGCTATAAAATGAGCATATTTAGACAGGCGATCCACGATCACCCAAATCACTTATTTGCCATGTATCACAGGTAGATGGGTGATGAAGTCCATAGAGATATCCTGCCATACTTGTGTAGGAATTGGGAGGGGATGTAATAAACCCAAAGGTTTCTGTGTAGAGTATTTATTTTGTTGGCATGTGGAGCAGTTTCGGACAAAAGACTGTGCATCTTTTGCCATGTTGGGCCAAGAGAATGAGCTTGCCAAACGAGTGAGAGTACCTTTTACCCCTGAATGACCGCCCGTAGGTGTAACATGAAATTCTTCCAAAAGGGTGTGTCATAGGTTGGACTCAAGAGGAATGAACAGTCGCTGACGAAAATACAAGAGACCTTGTTTGATATCGAAAGGAGTGGACTGAGATCCTGGTTGGTGGAACTTAGTAAATAACACCTTACCACTATCATCGTCCTTGTAAAAAGCACGAAGTTGATCCAAAAGAAGGGGTTGACAAATGGAAACTGTTGTAAAAATTTCCTCTGGTTGGTTCGACATGCGCGACAAGGTATCAGCAACGACGTTGGCCCGCCCCGGTATATACAAAATCTAGTAGTCATACCCCAACAGTTTGGTAAGCCATTTCTCTTGAGCAGGGGTCTGTATAGTTTGGGAGAGTAAACCCCGCAAACTCTTCTGATATGTGAAAATACGAAAATGTCAGCCAAGTAAATAATGGCACCATTTCTTGACTGCGAATGTGATAGCCGCCATTTCCTTATCATAAGCAGAAGCTCTCTACATTTGGGGACATAACTTTTGGCTAAAGAAAGCAATAGGGTGATTTTCCTGGGATAATACAGCTCCAATAGTTGTTCCTGACGCATCAGTGGTGACATCAAATGTTATGTCAAAATTTGGAAGGGCTAGTACTGGTAATGTAGTCATGGCAGTCTTCAAGGCTTGAAAATCATCTTGAGCTTCCCCAGTCCAGGTAAACTGATGTTTTTTGAGAAGATCGGTGAGGGGATTTGCCAAGGCGGCATAGTTGAGAACAAAACGTCGATAGTAGCCTGAGAGTCCAAGAAATCCTCGTAACGTCGAAACAGATTGAGGTACTAGTCATTTTGTAT